GCCCTAATCGCCGCCTGCCGCGTGCCGCCGCCTTAGATCCTCCGTCGTCAAGGGCGCCGGCTCGCGCCGCTCGCCGCGGTCTCCATAGCCGTTCTCATCTCTCCCCTGCCGCGGCCGCCTTCAATCCTCCGTGGTCAAGGGCGCCGGCTCGCTGTGGTCTCCATCGCCGCCCTCATCTCTCCCCTGTCGCCGCCCACTGTGAGTCCTCGACGGTGGTGAAGCGGTGGCGCGGTGATCTCCGGCGAAATCGACATGCAGCGCGCGCGGCAATTCATTTCTGACCGAGGTGGCGCGGTGGCTGGAACGAAAGGCGCCTCGCCGGCATGACGTGGACTGCAGCGGATCTTCGGCAACATCACAGCGCCATTGCTCCATCTTCCATCGGCAATTGTGCTCCTCGTTGGCAAGTGGCGGCTTGAACAGTAGCATGGCGCTCCCCGACGACCGATCAGTGTGGCAGCTCTAACGATCTTTGTGCTCCCCTGTTTGTGCTGCTAATCTCCATTGAGATTAGGTCAAATTTCCCCAATTTTATTGTTTCCAATTAGAGAGTTTCTGTATATATGTTTCAAATTATAGCATCGTCTTTTGCTCATATATCATTTTTGTTTAGCGAAAATATATGATGAAAATTTGTATGTGTGGTAACAGAAAAAAAATTGCAACCATAAAATCATGTATATAGTCAGGTTCTGAACAAATTACATATCAGGCTAATTCATGTGGATCATGTGGTTAATTCAGACAAAAAATTGCTGTACATAATTGTTCAAAGAAACCTTTTTTTAAGACAAATATGAGCTCATTTTAGAAAAAAAAATCCATTCCTCTACTTCAAACAGTGATCACTCCAAGTGCACGTTCTATCGACCATATTATGATTTAATGAGATGCTTATAGCCTTTCTGGTGTAAATGCAGTCAATAGCAGGGAATCTTTCCTATGTGGTCAAGGGTGCTGGCTTGCTGGGGTCTCCTTCACCCTGACATCAGGTTGCCGTCGATCCATCGCCTTCATAATGTGTTGGGTAAGAAACAAATCAACGATTTGAGTTTGCAGTATATGGAGTGTTATATCGACTGAAATATTATTTTTTATTCTTTTGTTTGTAACCTCAAGCTTCCCAGATTGCTAATTCATGTCCCAGATTATTGGTAGTTTGTCTACTGAGGATTCTGTACTGGAAAACATGTCAGGGCAGTGTGGCGTTGTGCTGTCTGTGAATACATGTTTCTTTGAGAGGGAGGAGCGTGAGAGAAAACGCCAGATTTTTTGGCATTCTCAACTAGAATGAGAAATATGAATACACTGGAAGATGTGAATCTGCCAAGATGTTTGCCAAGCTCTAGATACACCATTTGTTTGCTAAGGTGTTTTCAGTAAAATTCCTTTGGGCAACTATGACAATGGTAAATCACGTAAATGATGGTAATTTACCAAGTGTTTTTCTACCAAATTACATCAAACATCAAACATTGTATATATTTTCATGGGCCATATTGGAAATGTTGTTTTATGGCTAATATTAGCATTCTTATTTTTCAGATCCGATAAATTTCAGGTTGCAACTTACAAGGATCGATTTTAGTAGGACTACCAAGTTGCCTAGGATTTTAGGGTAAGGATTATTTGTTTTTCTGATGCGGATCATGGAAATCGTGTGAAAAATTATCCAGATTCTGGTCTTGAATTATACTTGTCAAAACTGACAAGATTATATGAATAGCTATAAAAATAACTCTACTGTTTCTTTTTGTGTGGACATATATTGTATATTGAAGTGATTATATATAATTGTCTATGGTCATGGATTATTATTTTCATATAGTAATAATATCATGTATGCTGATTTAGAAAGCTTTTGGTCTAGAATATTCTGATTTTCTCTCTTTGTAAGGCCAAGCTATGGTATTTTTGATTCACCTCACTTGCAAATTGTAATGAGTTTTATTTGTATACATCCAAATGAAAAATAATACTTCCTCCGTTGCAGCCAGCATGTGCTATAGAGATTGTATCAAGCAGCCAAAATATCATGTGCTCGTCATGGAAGGCCCGTCATGGAAGGCGGTCGAGTCGGAGAAAAGAAGTGGATCAATTAATATAACATCTCTAAGCATTTTGCTTTTTAGTTGTTGTTTGCTAGCATAATTACTTCTGTATTTTGTTGTTTCCTAGATGTTTTGAATTTTTTTTATGAACGATTTCGGTCGCGATTTATTTGCGAATATGATTATGTATTATTTGTTACATATATATGCTTGTAAAAGCGTGACTACGTATATTACCGAATGTTACCGTAGCGTTAGCATGGACATGCTACTAGTAATAAATTGGTTTGAAGTTAACCAAGCGGTAAGCTTGTTTAATTTGTCACGAATCAGGTTGTTTGTCAAAGTGAAAAAGAGAAAAAAAAAGATTCAACAGAAAAAATTGGGGATGTCTGTCAGACAACCTCTGGGCCACCCTGCACTGGAGTGAACCAGGCAGGAACGATCCTCTACAGCCGTCGGATGAGCTCGCATCGGATTCATCCTGGCCGTTAATCACGCTCTGGCCCAGAGGTCATGTCGCATCAACCAGACTGGAGTGCTTGCCTCCTTATTGGTAAAGGATGCAACGGTACGAGCCTATAGAACAGATCCTGTTCAAGTAAGGTCGTGCCCTGGGTCACCCGGCTACACCTTATAAGTAGCTCAAGATTCGTGTGAAGTGGCGAGGTGGTACTAATATTTAGCTCCGCCGCTTGCGCTCTGCTGATAGTGCAATGGGCCGGCCCTGTTTAAAGATGTTGCAAGTTGTACAGGCCCACGTTGGCTTTCACTCCAAGGATGTCCTATCGAGTTTGAATTCTACAAATGTTGACCGTCTCAGCTCTAAGACAGAAACGCGATGCTGTCGTTCTATTCAAGTAGGAGTAAGTATTCACTACAGTGATACCAATATTTATTCATTATATTTCATACCAATATTTAGTTCGCGTGTGTGAACGGCGTCCGAGTTTCTCATATAGGATACTAGGATAAATTATTTTACAGTGATATATCAATGTCCCATACCATTGGAATTGTCACGGTTAATTTGTTGTACACACTCGATCCAAAATATAAGTTATCATTTTCCAAGTGTCCTATGAATATAGGTTATCCTAGACATTCGAGTTCTTCATTTGCACTTCATTACTTTGTACTGAGTAAATACTTATCATTATTATTATTATTATTATTATTATAGAAATATGGTATATGGTATAAATATTTATTATTACTTTGTACTCAAATATACGCATGCATACTCACCGCTACAAACGCACATCGTACTTTTATAAACACATCCAAGAAACCGTTAACGAATACATAGCCCACTACTTAAAAAAATTAATCATAAATATAAACTCTCGTATCAAATCTTGGATTTGAACCCAATGCTAACATTTCACCACAAAAGGATTGCCCATATTTTCCAACACAAGTACTCCCTGTCCCTCCTTCCGACCTTTCATCAAATACTACTACTTCACTGACACTCTTCGACTTTAATCATTAATATTTACTACTTCCTCTGTTTTATATTATAAGACTTTCTAGTATTACCCACATTCATATATATGTCAATGAATCCATGTGTTTAGATTCATTAACGTATATATGAATGTTGACAAGGTTAGAAAGTCTTATAACCTAAGACGGAGGTAGTACATGGTTATACTACTATTGATGAAAACTTAATGCTTATGTTTAAAATACAATACACTTCATAATACGTCAATTTCTAAATATTTATTTTTTTATGAAGAACGGATATATAGTCAAAGTATTAAATATGAATAGTGTGTGGTTCACAAGTATCCGAGAAAAGGGCGAGAGCATATGCGATGGATGGCAAACGTAAGTGATATATTTCTTAATTTTTCCGCAATAGGTCATATGCGATTTATTTTATATATAAAAAAGGAAATACCAAAATCGCAGAAAATATTCACAATTTTTCAGTTCTTGTTACGAGCTACGCGTATGCAGTAGAAGTCAGCGCTCAACAAAACTATTAATACTCCACTGGAGTATTAAAAATGATTATCGAAAACGACCTAACAATATCATATTTTATTTAGGTCTATTATAGCCTTTTGACGACGTGTAAAAAAGTAAGCCTTTCGCAGTATTAATTATTAGTACAAACTTTAAAAATAATTTATTTAATATTTTAAAAGAAACTATTACATAAAATATTTAAAATGCATCATTTAATAATTTAAAAATAGTTGCCGTTTGTACATATCCCTATTCCAGTATTCCCTTGCTCTGGCTTGCCGTTCGTTTCTGCTTTGATTAAGATTAAATGCTGACGTGTAGAACAAGAAATCTATTATCTATTAGTATATAATTAATTAAGTTTTAGATACCAGTACAAATTTAAGAAATAGGGAAATTTGATATTCTAAAGCAATTTTTATATAGAATTTTTTTAAGATAAAATGTTTAGTAATTTAAAAAGCGGGCTAATGGAAACTGACGAAAAAATTTAGTTTCAGCATTCTTTTTTTTTTGACACCTTAGTTTCGGCATTCCGCCACACATTCTCGAAGGAAAAATAAAATCCCCAACGAAAAGCACCTTAAATAATATTACCTCCGTTTTTTAATAGATGACGCCGTTGACTTTTTCTCACATATTTGACCATTCGTCTTATTTAAAAAATTTACGTAATTATAATTTATTTTATTATGAGTTGTTTTATCACTCATAGTACTTTAAGTGTTATTTATATCTTATACATTTGCATAAAATTTTTTAAATAAGACGAATGGTCAAACAGTGAGAAAAAGTCAACGGCGTCATCTATTAAAAAATGGAGGGAGTAAATCACATAGGCCCCACATGCCATCCACCACACACACCCGTCCCCTTCCGGATAACTTCGCCGTTAAGTCAAACTCCACTCTTCTTATCTCATCTCCCCCTACACCGTCTCGTCTCGTCACCTCCCTTCCTCACCACACGCAAGATCTTTCCCCCCACTACACAATTATCACAAAACACCCTGAACAAACATATCACCACCAAAACACCCCTCCTCCGTCAAAAAAAAAACCACTCAACTCAGTTTAAATTTTATAAAAAAAAATCTATCATCTTACCTATCCTCAACATGTAAAACGAGAAATTTTATTTCATTAATATATTTTACCTATCTACCACTCTTATTATACTTTTTTAATAATTAAAGGTATTTTATTCATTCTTACTTTTCACTAATTTTACCTTAAGATGCCAGGAATTGACTTTTTTTTATGAAGGAAGTATGTCTCGAGATCAACAAATTTATATTTCACATAATTTTATGGACTAATCTGCAAAATTTCTTCCACACCTATAGGAGGAGGCAAATCCAAACGAAGGAGAGAGAGAGAGCTCATCGCCATCGCCATGGGAGGAGGCGTCATGCGCACCGCGGCCGCGAAGGTCGGAATCGCCGGGGGCGCGGCCGCCGCGGCGGCGGCGGCGGGCGGGGGCAGGTTCCGCCACGTGGCGCCGGCGTTCGCCACGGCCGCCTCCGCGGAGGCCGCCGCGCCGACGCTGGTGTCCGCGGCGGGCGGCGGCGGCGGTGGCGAGGTCCCCGCGGTGGCGGCGTCGGGGGCGCAGTGGGCGTCGTCGTGGGAGGTGGACGACTGGGAGTTCGCGGACTGGAGGGACGTGGCGGCGGCGGAGCCCGAGGTGACGGCGGCCGGGAAGCCGAGGCTGGTGTTCGCGCCGCCGTCGCGGGAGGAGGCCGAGGAGGCCACCACCGAGCTCAGGGACGCCATAGACAGGTGAAAGATTGCAAGATTTTAGGAGCCTTGATTGCCAATTCGTCGAATTGACCAGGGTTCGGGGAGGCCGTATATTTTTCCCCTTTTTACTGTTGAGAGGGGATAAATTGGGGATTTTTTTTCCCCCTTAGATGCTTTTTGGGATTGTCTCGATTATCAATTAGCACTTGGTGACCTGTCCCTTATGATTTGGATTTCGAATGGTTAGGGTTCGGATTTCGGAGTTCATACTGTCTTAGATTTGGGGATGTTACTGATTGGATGGTTTGCAGAATCTATTTTAGACTTTTAGGATTAAGGAATGGGTCACATATTTTGTTAGAGCGTCGAACTGTGGAATTAAAATCGTGCTGTGTGGTGATCAACCATGGGCCAGTTCAGGGGACTCCTCATTCAAAACTGAGAAATACATTAAAAATGATAGATTATGCTGCGTTGTTACTATATTTTAGAACACGAAATTGAAATGATCTTTTGTGTTCTAAAGTCTAGATAAATATGACAAAATTATTGTTTGCCGTTGTTGCTAAGCACTCTACACATTACTACCCCTATCAGCTTTTTTTTGTACCAACCCTATCAGCTTAAATTGAAAGATGAATCCAGTTTTAGGTTTATAACTAGCCTTCGTTCATGTGTTAATTCAGCAACTAATCATGGAATATACCTACGCCTATTCATGCTTTGTTGGCAAGAGAAAATATTTTGTGCATTTCATTAAATTTCGAATGCTGCACTGAGTACTGTAATCTGCATATGCACAGTTTTCTTTATCTTTAAATTTAATTTGAGATTAGTACATATTTATTTGGTTGTTATGAAATGATTGCTGTAGGGTTTATTTTTCTGAGGCTCCCATAGAAGTTGTGAAAGAACAGGATAAAGATCTTAGCAAGCTGGGAGCCGATGCAATAATTCCTGCTATGCCAGGACATGTGATGCAAGCTTTTACCTTGTTGAAATCAAGCCCAGAGGCACAGGTTTGTATTATATTACTTTATTGTTGTTTTAATCAATCTCCGTCAGCTGTTATTATGATCATATCTATTTCTGAGTTAGGGTATCTCATATTATTTGTGTTCATATATTTTTTATGAACGAATATATACATCAGGAAAACTTTATGCACTATTGTTGCTGAGGATGTACTGTGTTTAGAAACTTGGAAGTCATCAATCAGTTTTTGGTTTGTGTATTTACTGTTATCATGTGCCCTTTTTATATTTAGTATTTTTGCATGTTTCAGTGATTACATAGTATACACTCCATGTTGAGGGTTCGTAGTTCAGACTTCACATATGAGCATGGCACTTCATCATTGCATAATTTTTGTGTTGGTTGATTGCTCACCATGGATGCAACTTTTAATTCAGCTTGATTCATTCTGATGGCTCATGTTTCACTAATCTTGTTTTTATTGGTCTCCAGGGTGTTGTTGCATCTCTTGCCTCTGATAAAAATGTCTGGGACGCAGTGTTGAAAAATGAGAAGGTCATGGAATTTTACAAGACGCACCAGCAAAGTATGTACCACCTCGATTACTAACCATTCGCCATTTTATATCTCCTATTTGTCTTTCAACCAAACTGTATTACCCTTATTTCCTTTCTTGAGATGATACAATAATTACATCTTCCTATGACACAGGTCTGGTTTATACTTTCCCTGAGGGCACTGCCTCGGTAGTTTCACCTGAGAAGCTTGCAGACGCCTCCTCAGAGAATTCATCCTCCGGGGAGAAGCCTGAGAGCTCCCCTTTTGCAGACTTCATGGATAATGCAAGGAAGACGGTGATCGACATTGTGAACAATATAACCAACTTTTTCCAAGATATGTTCCGCAAACCCAATGAAGCCGAGATTCTTGGTGGATCATTCATGGCTCTGGCCATAGCAGTCATCCTGTTAATTATGTTTAAGAAGGCGTGAGATTTTGGTTCGACCTCCCTTGGGAATGATTGTGCTTTAAATTCGTCGAAAATAACTGGCATCGTATTATTAAGTACTACTACAATGTAATACTATATAGCTGTGTCTACTGCGTCCTTGAATATATTTGAGGACACAGGACAGTACAATAAAGACATCGTTTTATCTAATATCTAATATTGTACAGTACCTTATGTAAATGGCTGAATATCGTCTATATTTGCCGAAGCATAGTCGTTTCGTTGTGTATTTAGGCTACTGATAAAATGGACATTCCAAAAATGAGAACTGGTGTGTTAAGAAAATGTTGGGAGGGAGAACTTGCGAAAGACATTATTTTTAAAAAAAAAAAAGAACTTGCTGGGTCTGAATTTTAAAAAAAAGACCCTCATATAGGTGGTTATGTCATCATAAATGTAAATGAACCATGCATGAACCGATTATAAACTCGTCCGCAAAGTTAACCAGGCAACCAAGTTTAAAAGGTAAACTGAACTCGGCCTTCGCCGTCCAAATTTTCTTGAGCGTTTAATTTGCCACGAATCAGGTTGTTTGTCATAGTGAAAAAAGAGAAAAAAAAAAGATGAGAAAAGAAAAAATTGGGGATGTCTGTCAGACAACCTCTGGGCCACCCTGCACTGGAGTGAACCAGGCAGGAACGATCCTCTACAGCCGTCGGATGAGACCGCATCGGATTCATCCTGGCCCGTTAATCACGCTCTGGCCCAGAGGCCATATCGCATCAACCAGACTTGAGTGCTTACCTCCTTATCGGTAAAGGATGCAACGGTACGAGCCTATAGAACAGATCCTGTTCAAGTAAGGTCGTGCCACAAAGCCCCGCGCTCCAACTTATAAGCAGCTCCAGCTTCTTCCAAACTGGCGAGGTGGTACTAAACTATGTCCTTTCAACTAAAGGACTCGAAGCAGCCCAGGTTGACAAAAAGGTAAAGGCCCAGCCCATTTAAAAGATGATCTCTAGTCGCGATGAGTCCCGTCCCGTGTACATTGTTTATATATCTACCCTTTCGGATACGACTTGTCCATTTGTTCTATGTTTCATATGTAGACGTATCTGTCTGGTATTACCGAACGAGGATGTTCTGGTGGAAATGTGCAATATAAAATAAAACGTGTCAAAGCTTATATAAGAATTATTACGGGACCTATTATTCATTTCATTCATTTCTGCAAAATTGCATCAAGAGTCCTTATAGGGTTTATACATTTAGTATACAACAGGTACAGCTTCGAGGAATAACTGGTGAGCTACTAAAGGTACAACTTTCTTCTTTTTATGCTGTATGAAGCATTGAATCGGTAAGTTGTTAGTAAGCTCTAGAGTACAGTTCTGTTTGCTTTATACCCCAAGGAAATCGATGTCGTTCTCAGTGAGAAACATCTTTCCTCTGTTTGCATTGTTGGCCCTCCGCTGGGAGGGGGGTTGGCCTCTCTGTAATAACAACATTTTTAGAAGCAGAAGATGTGGTTCCATCTAGTTAACAGAATGAGAAGTGAAATTTTGTACTGTACCTTGCGCAAAACAAATGCGAGGTAGAGATAGGCTACCTCCCATTCATCCTGTGACAGTGTACCTGCAAAGTTTCTGATGTTAGTGGTGGCGAGAGTGGATTATGTTGGAGGTAGGAAATTTACTTGGTTCCGAGTGAAAATTACTTTGGTCCTGCCTTCCATCACCTAGGGCACCCAGCCTCCGCATGAGCTCAGCAAACTCTGGCTTTTGCAAGTACTCGTGTACAAATTCATGGAAGTTTTTCGTCAGAACCAACTCCAGGTCATACTGCAATACATTCAAAACGTGTCAGAACTACATGCATCTGATTGCAACTTTATATGCGCATACAAAATATAAAAAGGTGTACACGCAGTAGTACACATGAGAAATAAAATGAACTTCCATAGATTTTACAATCAACTTACTGCAAAATAAGGGAAAACAGCAGAGTGTTACTCGCAATAGTTTAAGGAAGAGAATACCTCCTCTGCCAGCAATTTGAAGAGATGGAATGGAACAACCCATTCCGGGCAATCAACAGCATCCTGCATATTGCCATAGACGTCTTATACATCATAAGTTTCCCAACAGCCAATGCAGCCAACAAGAAAGAACACAAAGAAGGAAGTCCAGTCTGGAGGGAAACAAAAATTCTAGCATTCCAATACAACACAAGTATGAAGCCAAAATGTGGGACAACGAAGACCATAAAAAATGAAGGACCAGGACGCCCAAACAAGTTGTAGCACATATATGTTAGTAAAATGACCAGAGGCATTTGCTTCTAAACTCCAAAGAAAATGTCTAGGGTAAATAAACAGTAATCATTGCCAATATCGACATTATGTTCTGTGTGACCTAGAAGAACCTATAGTTTGTTAAAAAAAAATCAAAATAGTGTAAATGGATGCACATCAATTGAGTATTTTCAATACTTTAGAACAAGCATCAGAAAAAGCAAAGCATACAAAACCACCAGAATGCAAACATATCAAATTTTGTTTGCATCACAAATTCTCTAATTTTACTTAGTTACTGGTTGAGTAAAATTACTCAATTAGTTTATCAGTACTCAATTAAAGCAACTAAGAAACAAGTGCTAAGATAAATCACCCTATAGAAACACACACTAAAGCAACATGATTACAAATTATGAGTAATCCCTTACCTCTAAGTGAAACTTGTATTTGATACCGAAAGGTCTGGATGCGGGGAATTTCTACACCATTGTGAAAACCAAAAATAGAAAACAGGCTAGTTAGTATCAAGACCCAACAGAAAGTGGTTATTATGAACATATGAACACAATTACCTTTTCAGCATACTCTTCGCCAAAACTAATCCAGTAAACACCATTCCCAAATTCCATGCCATCAGCTGAGGATAGGAAAGTTTGAGAAAAAAGGCATGTAGCTTTATCGCAAGTACAGTTAGACCAAAATTAATCAAAATATAGGCCCGCCAGTGAAAACAGTGACCTACTTTCTCTAAGCCTTTTGATGATGACATTAGCATCAGGCATTGTCCCAATGAAAACTCCTCCAGGACGAAGCAAAGCAGATACATTAGCTAGGGCTTGTCTTGCACGTGCTTCAGTTGACCATGAGTAATGTAACGCAAACTGGAAAATACAAAGAGAACTTAAAATTTTGGAAAGTGCCGAAGCAATTCAAAGGAGATAACTACATAGCTCACTATAATCACTCTCATTTAATATTTAGATATTTTTAGGTTTTATCAGTTAATACAGAATAAAGCCACCGTTGTTACATTTTATTTGCTCTGTCTGAACATTTAATGAATCAACGATCCTTTCAGTTTCAACATCTCATGAAAAAAAAATTCTATTGCTAACTGTCAATAGTGAATGTACTGAAAACATGTGTAATTAGAGAAAATTCAAAGAAATATAAAATTCCACTAGAAATTACCAAATAATCAGTCACACACACAACAACAAAAACAATGGACCCAAATAAGAGCACATAGCTAGGAAATATAAAGGTAGGTCACTCACCTGGCAGCTACATATGTCAAACGGAGCATCCTCATATAAATGCTCATCCAAACGAGCCTAAGGAATACATAAAAAAAACTAGTCACATCATTATAACAATGGAAGAGAATTTAGAAGTGAAGGGTGAAGCATGTTCTTCGTGGAGCAAAAACATAGGGCAAAACAACTGCCATTAGCAAAATGTATGAATATGTTAACAAGACTATGAAAATGCATACAGCTTGCATATGATTTGACACAACTCCACAAAGTGCGCTTGTACTTTGGGGGAAAAAATCCAAGGCACTGTGCTAATAACATTATCAGCATGTTTGTGCTTACAAAGCATAATAACAATATAATATCACATCTGGTTATAGCAAATCAGGTGTGTTGCAGCATTTAATTTCTGTTTTACCTCGTAACAATCAGCACAAATAAGCCGTGCAGGAAAACTGAACTTCTTCCTTCGTTGTTGATCAGTGTCACCATTATAGCGAGTCATGCAATCTTTTATCTGAAATTGTAATGTCATTTTTTTCGTGGTCCAAACTCCAAAGTAATGCAAATACATCAATAAGAGCATTCAATCTATTATTGCCTACTTGAGACCTGGAAGAACAGAAATAATTCACTAAAAAGCAAAAGAGAGTATTCAAGATTCTTAGGACTGAAATGATACAAACAAAGATGAAGTGGAATATAGATTGAATATATGCACACACACTTCCAAGCTTCAGACAGTCTTAAGTGTCTAGGAGAAAAATACAGTATGTGTTACATATACAACTACACCAAATCACCAAATGGTGCCATCCTACCTAGGCAGAAAAGCAAATACAGGGTATGCATTGCCAAGAATCATAAGCAGACAAATAATTCATTGAACACCATATCATGTTATGACAATAAGTTGAATGCATATAGTACAGATGTCCCTTGATAGAAAACTAACCGAGCCTTCGGCGATATCAACTCCTACATAATATCCAACCTTGGCTTTGTCCCACTTTATCAAGTCACCTCCCTGAGAATCAAAACAGTTGAAACAGGTTAACACTACTTTTACTAAAAAAGTCATTATGTTTCCAACCAATTCTCCGCATGCTGATCACCTTTCCACAAGCCAGATCAAGAACGCAGTCTCCGGGGTGTGCGTAGAGCTGGATCAGAACACTCTTAATCTGCCCACATCGAGATTGGAAGGGTTAAGCTCCGGACGGCCACTTAGCAAGTTGTACCAAACATCAATAAACATCTGAATTCGTCAAAGGAATTTAGGGGTGGACGGATAGGAAGGAAATACCCAGTTGTTGAGCTTCTTGAGGTGGATGATGGGGCTGTTCTCCCGCTCCTCGAGCGTCTGGTTCGACCTCGCGCTGTAGTGGTCCGCCACCCGCCGCGCGCTGCTCCGCTCCTCCGAGTACCCATGCCCCCCATACCCTCCGCCGCCTACCCCCCAAGAAAAAAAACGCCAAAACCGTAGTTAGCTACCACCCGCAGCATCGGTTTTGGCTGGATTGAGGGGTTGATTTGACGAGAGGGTTGGTGGAGAGGAGGAGTGAGTTACCTGCGCCGTACTGGCGCTTGGGGGCGGAGGCGAAGGAGGAGGAGGGCTCGTCGCGGGGCCGCTTGTTCATGCCGCCGGCGATCGCCGCCGCCGCCGCCGCCTGGATTGGAAGGAGGAGGGTTTCGATTCGATTCGATTCGATTCGGCTCGGCTCGGCCGCCGCTCGGTCGGCTCTGCGTCTGCGTCTGTCTCGAATAGGGATGGCAGTCGGGCACGACGGGCACGGGTAGTGACTACCCATGCCCGTGCCCGCGAGGTAATTTATGCCCGCGGGCATGCCCGTTACTACGTGACGGGCAAGGAGTACTTCCCATGCCCGTTGCCCGCGGGCGCCATGTGCCCGCGGGTATGCCCGTTTACCCGTCCAAGATCAGTTCAACTATAATTCCCAGTTTCCCACTAGCAAAGACAATGTCACAATTTAAAGAATCTAAAGAAATGGTACAATAGTACCAAGTTCAATACAAGCATTACAAGTTCATTAATCACAACTTCAAATGACATAGTTTAGCACAATCAACAAACTTCAAATGACATAGTTTTGAGGCAGCCAAACAAGCCATCGCATGTAAAGTTTCTTCTTCTTCTTCTTCCTGTTCAGCATGTTCTGCAGATGCATCCACACCAACAGGAGGAGCAGTTTGTGAGGCTTGCTCACGGTCAGGCTGGCTGCTGCTGACCGGAGGAGTAGCACGCCGGCTGCTACTCGCCGGAGTATTTGTATGCTTGCTGCTGCTTGCTGGAGTTGCCATTAGTTCAAATCACTAGCAATCAAATCACAAATAATAGATCAAAATCAGGAGAGACTAGATCGAAAAAAATAGATACCTAGATCTAGAGGAGAGAAGGGGAATAGAAGGGGAAAAGAAGGGGAATACCTTGCGGAGGACCGGAGGCGGCGGCGACCGGAGACGGCGGCGACCGGGGGGAGGGGGGACCACGGCTCGGCGCAGTGGAGGCAGGAAGCAGCGGCGACGGCGGCCGCAAACGGAGGGGGCCTGGATGGAGGACGACCGGCCGGAGGGGTGCTCGGCGCAGAGGTGAAGCCCCTCCCGGAGGCAAAGCCCCTCCCGTCCCCTTCTGCGGCCGTGAGGCAAAGCCCCTCCCGTCCTCTCTCGTCCCCTCACGGCGACGACTGCTCGGCGGCCGGCGGCGGGAGTGGGGGCGCCGGCGGCGGGGGTAGGGGCGCCGGCGGAGACCGGGGTGGCTAGGAGGAGGAGTCGAGGCTGGGAGGCGGCTGGGACTGGGAGTGGGAGGAGAGGCGGCTGGGAGTGGGAGTGGGAGGAGGCCGGAGGGAGAGAAACCCTAAAGATTTTAGACGGTGGTTTTTATACTAAGTTGACTGAGGGCCCACATGTCAGTTGGTTTCGCGGGTAAACGGGCGAAGCGGGCATGGGTAGTGACTACCCATGCCCGTGCCCGTGTGCCCGTTGGGTATATGTTTTGACCCAAAAAAATACCCATGGGTACTAAATGGAGAACAAACCCAGCTCTATTAGGGTTTTTACCCGCGGGTAAACGGGTAAATGGGCAAAACTGCCATCCCTAGTCTCGAAGAGGTTTGGCTTGGGCTAAACGGGGTCAGGTGTGGTCGAGTGGTGGCGTGGCGTGGCGTGGCGGTGTTCTTGTTAAGCTCGGGTTCGGTGGATTGGGGGGAAGTTTTGGAAGATGACTCATGACTGTGGCTGTGTGTAGTGTTCTCTCGTGTTTCAAATAAGGTTGAAATGTAACCAGATCTCAGCGTCACATCACATGATTAGATTAGAGGACTCCATGTAAGTTTGAATTGTGCAATGTTTAACCTGCAGTTGTGATGGCATGCATGGCGAGATTTTCTTCAGTTGACAGTCTTTAAGATTTCTTTCCCAATCTTGATGCTCAGTTTATAGCTCCAATGATTTGAAAAATTCTCTCTCTCTAACAAACTTGTTTCTTCCTTTACTAAATACTGCGTAGTACTACTAGCTAAATACCCGTGCTCTACTATGGTTAAGTATGAATTATACGCATGCAAAGGCTAGTATATTTCATTATATTATTAAAAATATGAATTATACCTATGCTACTATTGTTTGGAGCAAATTAATTATGAGGTGTCTAGAACAACTCATTTCCGCATATATCTTTGCATAATAACTTGAGATGAAATGATGTAATATGCTCAAGAATGATTTTGTAATATGAAAGTGCATTGAGTAGTTGATAAACAAAATATAAAATAGAGTATAGAACAAAGTTGGTTGATTAACGTGCCACCATAATTGTTCCCTTTTGGAAGAGTATAGAAAACAAATATTATTCATCTACCAAATATTGAATTATGATAATTTTCATATAGTGATGGAGAAGATACTCTAGTGATACAGGCATTTAAAATGAATGTTGCCAGCATAACCATTTGTACAAAGCAATTGATGACATAATGATTTTGTGTATCCCTTGTCCATAATGGAATTGTACCATTTCAATATCTTTCGCTTATAATATGTTTGTTCCAAAAGTTTTCAAATGTATACATATGATTAGTCATTTCTTCACGTTCTTCGCTTAAAAAACTTAGGCTTTTCCGAAACAATGTAAGATGACTAAAACAATAGTCCAACCACTTCTTTTAACACCTTGTAATATTTTCAATGCACTTGTTTTGATGGGATATCTTTTCAATGCATTTCCAGCAAAACCGTTAATATAGTGGCATTTGCAGTCAGTATTTTTACAGCTCCTCTATTTTATTATTTTTCATTTTTATACAAGGGTGTGAAGCCCTACATTGTATAGTATGGTATACATCTTATGACTATTCAAGAGTAATGGAAGAGATCAAAATTTCATAAGTATAATAATAGCTCATTTGAAACGCATTAATAGGTAAACACGGGAATATGATGTCACACCCCATAGAATCCTATATGATTCTAAAACATAGGAACACTAGGCGTGCTGCCTTTGGATAGTTCGCAGTGATTAAACACTAGCGTAAAGTTCATCCTCACTAAATGTAGTTAATGTTATTCCTCTCTTCTATCATTAAGCCATATCACCTCAATTATTTCTTGCCCTTAGATGATTGATCTATGGTCTAAATTATGTTTCTCTTATAAAGTCATATCACCTTAGTTTTGTCTTTGGATGATTAATATATATTACCTTCTTTGTTTTCATTCTCTCATTGATCCATATAGCCTTACTTTTGTTTTTGAACGATCAATTCATATATAATTAAAACTGATATAAGCCACACTATCTCAATTGTTTATAGCTTTTTAATAGTAAATTAGAGATAAAAGTTATATAAAATATAGCTATCTTACATGTTATTTCTACTAATATCATACAAAATTCCTGCAACAATGCGCAGTGTTTCATCTAGTTTCAAAGAAACTTGCACGTGACGCGATAGAGGGAAAAACTAGATAGTGCATTGGACTTTCAAAGGGAAAAAAAGTTTTAGCGTATGTTCACTTTTCTATGGAATTGGGGGGCATAGAAGGTCATTAATTTCATAGGATTTATTTGCATCATATTCCTTTGTGTGCAAAGGGCCTCACATGGTTTTATTTCTAAGAGTTTGGATCTTCCGAAACTCCCATAAAAATCCTTCAATCGAAAGGAGACCTAAACCTTCTCATTCCATCACCCATCTCAAAACGTGCACTTCCCGTAAAAATCCTTCAATCGAAAGGAGACCTAAACCTTCTTATTCCATCACCCATCTCAAAACGTCCACTTGTTCTCCAGCATACTGACCTCACGCTTGATGAAGAATAATGTTAAGGATGATAAACAGAATATGCACTCACATTTTGGTTCAATACGAAGGAGGTAACACCCAATCTAGTAAGGGGACCCAAAACGTAGGGCCATTATGAAACAAATAAAATGGCAGATGATGGATAATCGTGGGGTTTAGTTAAATTTATATAATATAAAGCTAACCAATAGCTTGAAAAAGTAATCAAAGCAATGTTGATGAAAAGTTTATTTAGAGAAAACAAAATTTTCAAAGCATGGCATGAATAATCCGCTTGATACTCCGTAATCCATTATCTGCTTTTAGTTGAACGAACGGAACCTAACATGGATCGGGCATCTACTCATTTGTCATATCAAAGTGTAGATCCATTGCTATCGTCGTACTAGCAAAACCAATATAAATAGCCAAGACGATACAGTCGGGAAAACCGATAATACAACATAAAACATACTACATGACATGCTTTACTCCAAGAATTACATCACATTGAATTGATATCATCACCTCCTCCATGTTAGAGATACCTACATGTGGTGAAGAAAAATGCTATATAAACCAAAGACGTGCTTTGTTTAACGCCATTGTTAGCTTTATCCTTTTTTTTTCAAACGACAAGATTTAACCATTGACAAAATTCTCATAATGTTGTTGTTTGAATTATTACCAAATTATCTGATATGATTGACTAATTGCTAGCAAATTATCAAATGTGTGCCAAATAATTTGGTACCACTATTCTTGATCCTGTTATGTAGTCAATAAAGCTCTCCCCCCCAGGGGCAAAAAGAGAAAATCAAATGTGTGCCGAATAATTTGGTAACTTTTTCTTTTTACCGTTCCAATCATTTTGGTACAGTTGATTTGTGGGATTTAAAGCTTGAACCTTCATCGGAGATCAGTTACATACTTCAGTAGCGCCTCTCCTCTACCGTCACAAAATGCTGAGAAAAACGAACCGTAGACCAGGCCACAGGGCAAGTCAGCAATCCACAAGAACGATACCAAGGACTCGTTTGCAAATACTCAGAAACACAAGGGCCCCCAAAAGGGAAAATTCGTTAGCCGGTAAAATGCAACCCCCCAAAATAAAAACCACATCACAATTCACAAGTAGTACTCCATTCACCAACACAACTCCCAAACTCCTCTCCTCCAAAAGAGATAGACTCCGTCCCCCGTCTCCGTCTCTCTCCCCATAAGAGGCGAGGGCGGAGGAAGGCTTTACGAGCAAACCAGGCCATTACACCCCCAAAAACTAAGGGAGAGAGAGAGAAAGAGAGAAAGGCAAAACACACAGGAGGAGGGGACACACGCCTCCGCCTCCACCTCCTCCCGAGGCGATAGCGAGCTCGCCTCCGCCTCCGCCTCCGCCGCGCCGCCCCGCCGACGACGAGGAGGAAGAGGCGACGCCACCGCCGCCGCCGCAGGAGGAGGAGGAGGCGACGCCCGTGGGGAGCTCGCGCGACGCCGGATCTCGCGATCTGAGGGGCCCCCGCGCCAATTCCCCCGCAGGTGCGCGCGCGCTCCACCCCCCACGATCCGCGGCGGGGCTCGATCCCGATTGGGTTCGTGGTTCATTGCGTTTGGTTTGGTTTGGATTTTTTTTTTTGACCTGCTCTCCTCTGTGCTTGGAATTAGGGTTTTGCGGCGGTGGAGACGGAGATGAGCGTGGAGAGCCCTGGAGGAGCCCCCGGGAGCTAGGGTTTCGCGCGACGGGACCGGGACGACGGCCGCCCCGACAAGCTCCTAGGTCTTCCATGGGAGATGGAGGTGTCGCGTGCGCCGTCCCGCCGCAGCGTGCAGTGGAGGGCTTCCGCGCCGGGGGCCTCGTGAGGAGACCAGGGGGAGAAGCCATGCCGGACAAGGGGGAGAGGGGACACCACACCACCAGCAACAACCACCACAGCCACAGCCACAGCCACCGGAAGCATCATGCCGAGCTGGAGGAAGGGGAGCTGCTCAATGGGGAGGCTGACAACAGCAGCAGCCGGGACTTGGAGAGGAGCATGCCTCCCAAGAAGTGGCGGAAGGTGCTGGCTGCCTCCTCTGCTGCAGAGGTGGAGCCGGGGGAGATTGTGATGCCCTCCAAGAAGGCGAGGAAGAACGGGGAGCTCGAGAAGGGGGAGATTGCCCCCGAGAGACAGAGGAAGGACAAGTCTGATAAGAGTGGGAGGAAGTCGAATAAGGATGAGGTGGAACCAGGGGAAGTTGCTCCACCAGATAAGAAGCAGGACCGGGATCATAACAAGAAGCTCGGCTCGTCGGCTCAGGTACGCGATGACGGCAGCAAGAAGGGCTCCTCGCGGGATTCAGATGAGGAGCCAGGTGAGATTAGGCCAGAGAGCAGCAGCACTGGCAGTGCAAGGAAGAGCAGGGCAACAGAGCCTGAGAACAGCAACCACAAGCACCAAGCTGATACATGTGATCAAACAGGTTCTAAGAGTCGCAGGAAGGGAGAGGCAAAGAGTTCTGGCAGGCATTTGTCAGGAAGGAATCGTGACATCTCGCCAATGACACGGGATCGACATGAGAGGAGCCCAGGGATCTTGGGGCGCTTTCCTCATGATCGCCTCCGCCATGACAGGAGCCCAAGCCGCTTGGAGCCCTCCCCACGGGACCGCGGTCGCCACTATGACAACAGAGACCGCAGCCCATACATTTCTCCACGCCACAGAATGCGCCCATCCCATTACAGGGATAACACACCGAGCCGTGGTGAGATGCACCATCACAGGGATAACACACCGAGCCGCGTTGATAGTTCTCCTCGGAGATCTCAGCACGAGGACTTCAGAGACCGAAGCCCATCTCGTCGTGATAAATCGCCATCTGAACGAGGACGGACTACTGAAAGCCATGAAGCAGGCAAGAAGAGCAGAGGTGCTAAGCTTGAAAACAACAGCCTGGAAAAGGCACAACACAAAAGTAAATCAACAAAGCAATCAACTAAGTCTAAGAGCAGTAGCAATGGAAGTAATGAGAAGATATCCAAGGAAAAGGCAACTGAGACCATTCAGTACACTGAGTTGCCACCACCACCCCCTCTACCCCCGCCGCCACCACCTCCTCCGCCGCCACCCCCGCCTTTACCGCCTAACATGCCTCCTCCCCTGCCTCCACCACCAGAACCTGAACTGAATGGAGCTCCTGCAGAAGATGTCTCAATGGAAGAAGACATGGACATCTGTGACACTCCACCTCACACTACTAGCTCAGCACCTGGGCCCACTGAACCACCCGCAAGCGATGTGGGGAAGTGGTTTTATCTTGACCATTACGGTATTGAGCAAGGACCTTCTAAGCTTGCTGACTTGAAGAAGCTGGTGGAAGATGGATATCTTCTTTCTGATCATCTAATAAAGCATGCTGACAGCAATCGGTGGGTGACTGTTGAGAATGCAGCTTCACCACTGGTTCCATCCGAATTCCCCTCAGTATATTCAGATGTCTCAACACAGCTGGTTAGCCCGCCAGAAGCCCCAGGTAATTTACTTGATGAAGCTCGAGAGGAGGCATCTGGTACTGACCATGAACAAATGAAGGAAGCTTCTGCAGAAGAGCAGGAAGATTTCTACATTGATGACAGGGTTGATGCATTGATGGATGGATCTATCATGGTGGATGGTCAGGAGCTTGAGATTCTTGGAGGTAAAAATGCTCCCTTGTCGTTTGAACCTGAGATTCAAAATGTTTTTTTTTTCCCGTTCTCTTTTGGTGCCAATGGGCTAGCTCAATTTGGGTTTTTCTTCAGTTTGCTTGGTTATATCCTTTTTGGGGTTGCATAATTCTTGGTGGTATTGGTACACCCCTCGATTTCTTTGTAGGTTTGTAGAGGGGCGGGTGATGCTTCATCCGTGATTTTGCTGTTTAAACCTAATGGTGAGGTGTTTCATGCTGTCCACGTGGTTGGGCCCGGGTTTTATAAGGTGTATAGATCTTCTTTTGGATACAGTTTTTTCCGTTGCAAAATCTAGTAGCGCGGACCTTGTGTTTTCTTGGATTTTTTCGTTGCATCTTTGTTTTGCATATGCACCCCCATGTATTTCTGTTTTTAGTTTGACTGTCATGAAAAAAAAGTAACGATTTCCACAAATGCCCTTCAGATTTATTTATATATACATGTCTCCTTTTGGAAATTAATTATTCTTATGAGTTATGACATCACTTCGTGCTCTCTCTTCATCTCTCGGATTCATATTTTCTGCAACTCTGGATTGTTGGTGTGAAGTTAACCTGCATCTTTGACTTCATTTTTTTTAAATATAAACCTTTGATGAGTGTTAGAAGTGTAGAAATTCCAGAAGCTTTACAAATAATTATATTTTTGTTATTTGGTTGTTCTTCAGAAGCCTTTTTTCCCGCAATTACTTCCACTTCCTCATGGTTGTACTAATGTTGTCGCCTTCTGTCATTTGTAAATTGCAGAGCTTCTAAATGCACATTTTGAGCCAGTCAACTGGGAAAGCGAAGGTATTGAATCAGTTTTCTCTTCACTTGGTTTTAGGATGTGCTCTCATACACGTTTGAATTCTCAATACTAGTGTATGGTTTCCTTCAATTATGTAGATGCCATTCATCTCTTAGGCAGAGTAACTGTATTCTTTTTTTTTAATTTCTAAAGCTTAATCAGTTAATTGAGCATAATATTTCCTTCAGATAAAGTTTAATGTGTTCTTTCGTGAATATGATGTCATGATACCATAATTAAGTTTCTTTTTGTTACCCTTCATTCTGTTACCATTAACATGTTTTAAAATTCTTATGCTAGATCTTTCAAGGTTCCAAGTTAAATTGGAAAGAGATGATGGAACCAAAAGAAGCACTGAATTTCCAGATAGCAGGACTGCACACATTTATGGCGTTGTTCCTGCTGAGAGGGATACCTATCAGCCTCATATTGAGTCTAGTGAATGGTATTCTGGGAGATGGTCATGCAAAGGTGGTGACTGGAAGCGAAATGATGATTTCAGCCAAGATAAGCCTTACAGGAAGAAGCTTGTTCTCAATGAAGGCTATCCTCTTTGTCAAATGCCAAAAGGGAATCATGAGGATCCTCGTTGGGGCTGCAAGGATGACCTCTACTACCCTTTACGTGCTAAAAAGCTTGATCTGCCGTTGTGGGCATTCTCATCAACAGAAGAAAATGATGACACTGTAGATGATGCCAGTAAAAGTGGTGTTATGCCTGGGAGGTCAGGTCAGACTAAACAACCTCCTAAGGGAGTGAAGGGGACAACGCTTCCTGTCGTTAAGATAAATGCCCGTGTTGTTAAGGACCAATCCTCTTCTGAACTCCGTATAAAGCCCAAAGTAGCTGATCGGCCACCTTCTAGATCTTCGCGCTCCCATTCAATTGGGACTGATAGGAGTTCTACCCATGAAGGTTCGTCTCATTCTAAGAAACATCATGAACACGATTCACAAAGTTTGCACAAGTCCAAGTCTGTTCCAAACATTCCAAAGGACCATGTATGTACTGTTGAAGAATTGTCAGTCAAAGTAGGTGACTGGTACTACCTGGATGGAACTGGTCATGAGCGTGGCCCATTTTCTTATTCTGAATTGCAAGAATTAGCTAAGAAGGGCACTATCCTTGAAGGGAGCAGTGTTTTCCGGAAGATTGATAACACATGGCTTCCAGTGCTTAAGGATTTAAAATCTGGTTGCTCTGCTCGGAATGGGGAGGCTGGAAGTTCTACCTCTGCTCTCACACACTCAAACCAGTCCAACTTCCACGAGATGCATCCACAGTTTGTGGGTTATACTCGTGGTAAACTGCATGAACTAGTCATGAAGTATTTCAAGAGCAGGGAACTTACTTTGGCTATAAATGAGGTCTTGGAACCATGGATTGCAACAAAGCAGCCCAGAAAAGAACTAGAAACATTTTTTTCTCACAGTTCAGCTTCAAAGAATTTTGTGCAAGGTACTGTATCAGGTCTTGTCCAAATACAACTTATTCCCCTACCTTTTGCTGTAAAAATTTTCTTCTCAGCTATCATGACGCATGTCAAGAAGCAAGTTTATCTTTTCTTCGTCTGTTGCTTTCAAGTCATTCCAGTTGCACGATACACACTCTTTGCTATATTTCTTTTATTCTAGTAATGCAATTGTTATCCTGGTCATTTATTTCTTCTGGCCTGCATTTTGATTTGTGGACCTTCTCATCAATTCTCCTTTTCCCTTTTGATTCATGTAGAGGATGGCGGGTCCACAAAAAGGGCAAGGTTGCTGCCTGATCAAAGTGATGAATATACTGATATGTCTGAGGACATTCTTGCCAGTCAGAAGGATGATTGTTGTTTTGAAGACTTATTTGAGGGGGCTGCTCATGTTAAAGAAAGCCCTCTGAATTCCAGAACGGAAAGTGAAAGCTGGGGTTTATTAAATGAACATGTGTTAGCAAGAATTTTCCATTTTCTGAGGGCAGACGTGAAGTCACTTATTTCTTCTGCAGCTACCTGTAGCTGGTGGAACACTGCAGCCAAGTATTACAGGAGTGTTTGTAGATTCATTGATTTGTCTTCTTTGGGCCCTCAGTGCACTGATAATGTTTTCCACGACATCATGGTATATTCGCTCATCTTTCTAACTTCAAGATGTTTCCTTTGTCATCTTCTAACTTCGGGCTCAAAATCATGTATCTTCCTTTCAGGCTGGTTATGACATGCAAAATATTAGAACACTTGTTTTAACAGGGTGTTCAAATCTTAGTTCTCTTGCCCTTGCGGAAGTACTTAAGCGTTTTCCGCACATATCATATGTGCACATTCAAGGTTGCAGTCAGCTAGGGGATCTTAAAAACAAATTTCAGCATGTAAAATGGATTAAGAGCTCTTTGAATCCAGATGCATCATACCAGAAAATTAGAAGCTTGAAGCAGATAGATGATGGGAGCAACAGCACATCCAAAGCTGGAAGGATCTTGACCAGTCAGATGGGTGGTTCTGATGAGCTTGATGGCTATTTTGCTGATATTTCAAATAGAGAGAGTTCCACCCTTTCCTTTGGACAAGGGTTCTATAAACGATCAAAGTGGCTTGATATTAGAAAGTCGTCTGCGGTTTTGTCAAGGGATGCACAGATGAGGCGTTTGATGCAGCGGAAGGCCGAGAATAGCTACCGGAAGATGGAAGAGTTTGTCATCAACAAACTAAAAGAAATCATGAAGAGCAGTAGATTTGATTTTTTTGTTCCAAAGGTACTATCGAAATCCTTTAATACAATTTTCTGAACCTTGATGTTTTGGTTGACCCTAATAATAGTTCACGGTACTTTATTTTCTATTCCAGGTTGCGAAAATTGAAGTTAGGTTGAAAAATGGATACTATGCTCGCCATGGCTTTAGTTATATCAAGAATGACATCCGTTCTATGTGCCGAGATGCATTAAGGTAAAGTGGGTCTAAATGAAATGAAGGCTTGCAAAGTAGTTGAATTTTATGTGATAATGCACTATCTGACATTTGATATGCCATTACAGATATAAAGGTCGAAGTGACTTGGGAGATATGAAACAGATTGTCGTGGCCTTCATCCAGCTAGCAAAGAAACTTGAGAACCCAAGGTTGATTTCTGATAGAGATGGGACAGCAGTTCAGAAGGACAGTTCTGACATGAGTCAGTATTCTTCAGATCTGAAACTCAAAAAGAAACAGAGTAAAACTATGTCAGAAAGAAGGGGAGCAAACTGGACTACTGCTGGAGCAGATCCGTCATCTCGTGCATTTGACCGTGAAATCAAAAGAAGTCTTTCTAAATTAAAGAAAAGGGATATCGATTCTGGTAGTGAAACATCTGATGATGATGATGGCTACTCTGAAGGTGATGAGACTGAGAGTGAAACTACTGTTTCTGATACAGAGAGTGATCTTGATGTAAATTCGGGAGCATGGGATTTAAAGGGAAATGGTATGAAGTTATTTGAATCAAGCGAGTCTTTGACGGATGATCGTGGATGGGGTGCTCGCATGACAAAAGCAAGCCTTGTTCCCCCAGTGACTAGGAAGTATGAGGTTATTGAGAAGTACCTAATTGTAGCAGATGAGGAGGAAGTACTGAGAAAGATGCGGGTCGCTTTACCTGATGACTATTCAGAGAAACTGCTCTCGCAGAAGAACGGCACTGAAAATTTGGAACTACCAGAGGTTAAGGATTATCAACCTAGAAAAGTACCTGGGGATGAAGTTCTTGAGCAAGAAGTGTATGGAATAGATCCATATACACATAATCTCCTACTTGAAATGATGCCTACTGAACTTGATTGGCCATCCTCTGACAAACATACCTTTGTTGAAGAGGTTTGTCCTGGTGAATAGCCATTTTAATTTCGTTTTTAGTTTACATGCAGGCCTAATTCTTTGCACTTGTACTATTTTTTTTTCACTGCAGTTGCTTCTGAACACCTTGAATAAGCAAGTGAGGCAGTTCACTGGTTCTGGAAATACTCCCATGGTTTACCCCCTTAAACCTGTAATTGAAGAAATCCAAAAGTCTGCAGAGGAGAGTGGTGACAGACGGACTTCAAAGATGTGCCTTGGAATGCTAAAGGCCATGAGGAACCACCCAGAATATAACTATGTCGCCTATAGGAAGGCATGCATTTCGTGATAACTAATCCCTGCATACCATCTTAACTAACTTCAGTCTTTTTAACTTTTTCTCTGCATTTTCTTTCAGGGTCTTGGAGTTGTTTGTAACAAAACGGGTGGATTTGGTGTAGACGACTTTGTCATCGAGTTCTTTGGGGAGGTATGTGATTTTTACGATCAACAAATCTTCCTAGATGACATGCAAAGGGATATAACAATGGTATAATATTTGTGAAATTGCAATATCTGCAGGTATACCCTTCTTGGAGATGGTATGAAAAACAAGATGGCATTAAGCATATACAAAACAATAGCGACGATCAAGCTCCTGAGTTTTACAACATTATGCTAGAACGGCCAAAGGTATTAGTGCAATCTCAAATTTTTTAATGTGACCTTGCATGTGACTTATGTTATTCCAGGTCAAGGTACATATAACTGATCGTTTTACCTTTGTTATGATAAAAAGGGAGACCGTGATGGGTATGACTTGGTTTTCGTTGATGCAATGCATAAGGCTAACTATGCGAGCAGAATTTGTCACTCCTGCAACCCTAACTGTGAAGCAAAGTAAGCTTCTTAATCTTCAGATTAGTACCTTGTGTGGTGTATGTGTACTGCCTTATCACTCCTCCTATAGTACTTCCTCTGTTTCAAAATATAGTGTGCATTTTGTTTCGTTAGGACAAGAGTTTGGCCAACGATTACTCTATTATGATATAATTTTTACGACACATAAATTTATTAGATTCATATCCAGAAGTACTTATGATTATACTTTTGTATCACAAATGATATTCTAATAGAGCGATTGTTGGTCAAAGTCGTCCTAACGAAACAAAATATGCCCTTTGTTTTGAAACAGAGGGAGTACCTTTTTAGTGTTGACCTGTACTTTTGGACTGTATTTGTGGAAGGGGTTTACTCTGTTAACTAAATTTATATATGTGGTGTTGCAGTTTGCACGTGATATATGCTTGGCCCTATCATTTACGCAACTACCTTCTATTGTCTTTTTCATATTTTGAAAGGCCTTTGTGACTTCATTGTTGTTGTATTCTGTGGTGGATCCATCCTATGCTTTGAACTGTAGTGGGGGAATGCGATTTCACTCTTCCTGCATGTCTACTTCATTCTATTTGGTTCACCATGCGCTGTTGTATTTTTTTCTGAACAAAGTCCCTGATGGCCTGTTTTTGTTGTTCCAGTAGTGAAATTCAGAAATTGAGAACAAACAGGGAAGGGGGCAGCAATCAATGGATGGCTAACAATTTATAAAAACTGAACTGCACATTTATAGTTTAAGCATTTTCTGTACACCTGTACCTAATATTGAAGGACTCTTAAGATTGAAGGAGAACTGGCCCATATTGGTTTCCACAAAGCCCACTTTCCATGCTAGTCAAATTTATAAATTAGTAAAATGCACTCATAAGATTACATGTTATACCTGTAATAATAACTCACGATTATTAAAATATATTTCCAGAGTAACGGCTGTGGATGGTCATTATCAGATTGGAATTTACACTGTTCGACCAATTGCAGAAGGCGAGGAAATCACTTTTGATTACAACTCTGTTACTGAGGTGATTGCCATTTCTAGTTTCTGTATAAGTTCTAACGTAAATTGCTTTATCTTATGAATACATTCTAATTATGCCAGAGTAAAGAAGAGCACGAAGCGTCAGTTTGTCTCTGTGGAAGTCAAATATGCAGGGGCAGCTATTTAAATTTTTCTGGGGAAGGAGCTTTTGAAAAGGTAAACTTCATTCTTGTTTACAGTAATTTAGGAACTGACACTTGCAGTTTATCAAATTGTCATACACTGAATTTTATACTGCATCATTTCCTCTCATCTACTAATATCATTTGGAACAGGTCTTGATGGAATTCCATGGTGTGCTCGATCGACATAGTCTTCTGTTACAGGCTTGTGAAGCAAACTCTGTTTCTCAACAAGACTTAATTGACTTGGGGAGAGCTGGTCTTGGTACCTGTTTGCTTGCTGGTTTGCCTGGATGGCTTGTTGCTTACACTGCTCACCTGGTAATTGTAGTTACCATTTTCTTAAAGCTTCTTTTTTCTTGATACAGTAATCAGTATCGTGATCCCTCATGGCTATTTTTCCTGTAAACAAAGGTGCGGTTTATATTCTTTGAGAGACAGAAACTTCCTCATGAGATCTTTAAACACAATGTGGACGAGAAGCGCCAGTTTTTCACAGATATAAACATGGATTCCGAGAAGAATGATGCCGAGGTTCAGGTGGGTCTTCGAACGGCTACAAGTTGCAACGTAATTTACATAAAATCGATCTAATTCTGTCATCACTACTCAGGCCGAGGGAGTTCTGAATTCAAGATTACAGAATTTGACTCATACACTTGACAAGGTGCGCATTTTATGCCCCCTAGCTTGAAGTTATTCAGTATAAGTGAACAAAAAACATGCACTATGCACTAACAACCCAAAAGAAGTCTCTTCTGATGCATTTTTATGGATCATTGTTATGTTCAGGTAAGATATGTCATGAGATGCATATTTGGGGATCCCAAGAATGCTCCTCCTCCACTGGTGAGGCTAACTGGGAGAAGTCTAGTTTCTGCCATCTGGAAAGGGGAAGGCTCGTTAGTTGATGAACTTCTTGAGTCAATGGAACCTCATGTTGAGGAAGATGTACTTACTGACCTCAAAGCCAAAATTCGTGCTCATGATCCATCTGGTTCCGAGGACATTGAGGGAGAAATCCGAAGTTCTCTTTTATGGTGAGTTTAGAATATATTCTTGTTTTGTTTGACCATTAATCTGACTCTTCCCTCCAGTCACCTGTATCTGGAATCTGACCGCCCTTTTCTTCAGGTTGCGTGATGAGCTGAGAACTCTTTCATGCACATACAAGTGTCGGCATGATGCTGCTGCTGATTTGATTCACATGTATGCTTACACAAAGTGTTTTTTCAGAGTCCGAGTAAGTGAAAACTTCCTCTTAATTTTGCAACAAATGTTTGTGATTTTTCTCTGTACCAAAGGACTGACTCAAGGATCACCACATGCAGGATTACAAGACGGTAAAATCTCCACCGGTTCTTATCAGTCCTCTTGATTTAGGTCCCAAATATGCAGATAAACTGGGACCAGGCTTCCAGGAGTACTGTAAGACATACCCAGAAAATTATTGCTTAGGTCAACTCATTTATTGGTATAGCCAGAATGCGGAGCCTGAATCTAGATTGACAAGAGCTAGAAAGGGTTGTATGTCATTGCCAGATGTATCCTCCTTCTATGTGAAGTCAGTAAAACCAACACAAGAGCGAGTCTATGGCAGCAGAACTGTGAGATTCATGTTAGCGCGCATGGTAAGTGCTTACCTTTTATATGTCATTGTGGCTAAAATATTCCAAATTTTGTTCTTGGAACTCGTTCAGTGTGGAAAACAAAAGAGAATATTTGTTCTAGACAATATTAAATCATCTTCTGTTGGATTGAGTATTTCTCTTCATATATGCAATATATTACAGTTTCTTTCCCTGACTCCCATCTTTCTCAATGAAACTGCGTGGTTTTATTACAGGAGAACCAGGCACAAAGGCCATGGCCCAAGGACCGGATATGGGTTTTCAAGAGTGACCCAAGATTCTTTGGTACTCCAATGATGGATGCCGTATTGAATAATTCCCCCCTTGACAAGGAGATGGTGCATTGGCTCAAGACAAGATCCAACGTCTTCCTAGGCTAGCCAAGGAATTGTAGGCAGAGGGTATTGGTTTTTTTCCTTTGGAGATTTTAGTCAGACACCATTCTTTTTTCTTCCTACTCACACCTTTCCTACCTAATCATGGGGATTTAGCTTTTAGATGGCAGGGTAACAACAGTCTCTCTCACCTTCCCCATTTGTACAGCCCCCTCCTCCCCTTACCTTGTAGAGATGTGTTCCATTATTAACTGATAGATCCATCATTGATTTAATGTAGCGCCTTTTCCCGTTGCGTAGAATTGTCACCTCCCAATGTGCAATGTGGATATTCATGTGTAAATGCAAAACAGTAGCAATCTTAAATTCCAGTGATATGTTACAGATTGTAGGAAGTGGACGTTGCATTTCTGTTGCTCAGTTTCGAGCTGTTTGACCTAATAAAAGTTTCAGGAAGTAGTTTTTTGCAGGAGTGATACAGAAGTGGTCTGTGATAATGAATGCTGGGTGAAAGTTTCGCATGAGAGGAGAAAACATATGCTTCACCTTGAGCTTGTGCAGTTAGGATAGATGTGCAGGCAAATGGGTAGCAGCTGCTTTCTGTTTTTCCTATCATGTTCAGTTCATGACATTTTTTTTTGTGTGTGTTGGTGGCTTAATACATGAATGTCAGAATGGGATTCCTTGAGCCTCTTTTCTCCTTTTGGGTGGACAATAAATCAATAATGCACCCATATGTACACTCTGCTGACTGCTGGAAGCTGGTCCTTGAATGAACTGCCTGCTGCAACTCTTTTGGAGCCATGAGGAGTAATGTCTCTTTTTGGAGCCATGAGGAGTAATGTCGTGTAAATGCTGACCCAGTATCGACTATGGTGAAGGGCGTCAAGGCAGCTGATTAATTAGGCCTTTGCTTCCAAGGGTGAATAGTACCACTAGCACCCCACAAATCTGAGAGGCTTGTGATGTTTCTACACAATACTTCTTTTTCTAAACCCTATTCATAATGGTTAATCTATTCTTATAAACAACTGTCCATAATCCCAGCTTGGGAGCAGGAGCTGATGCAGTCCAGCAGGGCTGAATCCAGAACCAAAATTGGCATGTCTCCTATACCTATCAATCACACATGCTACTAGTTTGTTTATGTGATAACATGGTCAAATCAAATGCTAATGGAATTTCTCAAAACTTTACTCTTATGTCCGCACATAACATGGTCAAATCAAATGCTAATGGAATTTCTCAAAACTTTACTCTTATGTCCGATCCACGATATGTAATTCATACAATAGTTACTTACTATAATATTAATATCTAGTCCCACCTGTCGTGCTGCAGCTGGCTATATATCTGTAGCCCGCTACTCTTCTCTCTTTTCCTTTATCTCTTTATAAAATAATAAAATATATTTATAGCTGGCTTATAGCCTGCTATTGTACCTGCTCTTAGAGGAGACGTGGGCGGCGGCACAATCTCGCTGACTAGCGACGCGGACGAGTCGGTTTCTGGTTTGTGATATGTTCGATGTTGATGCTTTGCCTGTAACATTTTGGGCCACGCTCGGCGCAGGCCTGCAGGGTGGGGGTGGGGCCCCTCTGAGTCGGGGGCCAGAGCGGCCGCACCGCTCGCCCCTCCTAAAGGCTGGCCCTGATTTTTAGACACATGCATGAAGTATTAGATATAGATAAAAACAAAAACTAATTGGACAGTTTGCATGAAAAATCGCGAGACAAATCTTTTGAACCTAATTAGTCATAAGTGCTCTACATATGCTAATGACAGCTTAATTAGGCTCAAAAGATTCGTCTCGCGGTTTATAGGCGAGTTATGAAATTAGTTTTTTCATTCACGTCCGAAAACCCCTTCCGACATCCGGTCAAACATCCAATGTGACACCAAAAAATTTTCTTTTCACGAACTAAAATATGGCCTTAAGCTGATCACAGCCTCCAGAAATCCGTACAAAATCGGTTGTTTTTTTTTCTCTCGAGGTTAAAGTTTGTCTCCATGGATGGGACAAGGTATCTCAGCTACCTGCGCCGCCGCCCGGAGCAGGCCGTCGTCGCTGCTGATGTCGTCGGCCAGGACAAACGGTAGGTTTAAGTTCCTCTCTATGTTCGTAATCGTTGCTGCTTCACTCATTTTATTTAGATAATGTGCTGCTTCACTCATGGGCAAGGGGAGGGGAAGAAGAAGCTGGGTGGGTGCCGGCGCAATTTATTTTAATTAGCTGGTTGATTCGGCGATTTCTTAGTGCAATTTCTGGGTCCAAATTACTTGCTTGATACACATGCATGCTGTTATTGCATCATTCACCACTCTCCCTAGCCAAACTGGAATTGCATAAGTTTCACAAATGTCTGATATGTAATGTTAAGTTTTAGATATTTGGCCAGATAGGTAGATAAAGAGAACTTTTATAAATGCACAATTATCTTGCTAGACCAGATGGCAAAATTTGCTACAGGACATTTTAAAAATGTGTAATTTGCTAGTAAACATCGAAAAAACTATCAAGGCAAAATGACACTAAAAAAACGGTAATTTGCTAGAGGATACTTTCGGTTCAATTGGAGAAAGAAATTCTTTAGAAAAACGAGAATGCCTCTACAGTTAAAAGTTTTTGAGCTGAGATTGGAGAGAAGATGAAATATGATGTATATGAATGATGTACTTGGGGTGATGATAAATTTAAAGTTGCATAATTTTTAATTTATACTCTAACACCACGTTTGAAGCATGTTGTCCTAGGGGGGATTTATCTTTACGATTGAGTTGAAAGTGTTTTCTAGCATATTTTATCAGTTTTTTAGATATATTTTAAGTCGTGACACGTTTTTAGTATATAAATAAATTACACAAAATTTGGATATCCTGTAGCAAAAATTGCCTAATTTGATGAAGTATGTGGAATGTCACGCATAGAGTCACTGATGAACCAATGTACATGGCGCCAGGGTGGTCGGGTTGAGCTGGCCATCCACCTGAACCAGTGGCGGCCTCCTCGAGATGCGAAACCTCCCACTAGGTGTCGGCGGCGACGGCGGGCCCCTGCATCAGGAGGACAACTCTGAATCTGACCGTGCGAGGCGATGGTGCCTTCGACATGTAGATGCCCAGCGGCAGCGGCTCACTGGACAGCTCGTGGGGGACGTAGCCGTGCTGCAGGACGGGGAGAGCGCGCTGTCGGCGCACGCACTCCATGTATAGATGGCCAAATGGGTCGCCCAGCCTGGCACGACCATGCCTAGGCTGAGGTCAGTCGGGCCGGCTTGGCCCGACCTACACGTCGGGCCGTGCCGTGCCAGCCCATGGACTACACACACGGCCTAGGCACGACCTAATAAGACTCGGACCGTGCGGCCGTGCCGGGACAGCCCAAAGGCACAACAGCCCATCGTGCTTCTCCATAGAATAAATCTATTTTTCGTTCCTCAACTCTTTGGGCTATGTCTTATATGGCTAGAAATAAGTCTATTTTGTATTCCTCTTCTCTTTGGGCCTTGCCAACTATAGTTGATTAAGTCTATTTGGATCCCTCTACTATTTTCTTTGATCGTGTCGTGTCGGGCCGGCCCATTGTGCCAAGGGCTCGGCTCAGGCATGGCCGAACTATCGGGCCGTGCCGTGCTTGGGTTGGGCCGTTGGGCCTTGGCCTTATGGCCATCTACAACTCCATGTCTAGCATAGGTCCGTATGCGATCAGGAACCCAAACCCCCTCTTGCTCCCCCCGTGGCCTGAGCACTTGGACAAGCGCCCTCAAAGATCATCCCCTACCAGCGGATGCGACCGTCATCACCGTTTGCCGTGTAGCGGATGCCGTCTGACACCAGGCTAGGTCGACGGCATCGCACAGGCGGACTGGACTGGCTGTGGTGGCCGGCAGCGACGAGGATGGGAGGGCTCCGGTGCGGCGGAGAGGAGGGCTTGGCGAGGAGGGTGTTTGGTGGAAGATGGAACGAGGTGAGGCGAGGCGGTTACGCTGGCAGCACTCATCTCGTCGAAGAAGAGCGAAAAACATTTCGTATGATCACCAAAAAAAGAGACAAAAAGATTTCGGAAATTAGTGAAAATGAGAAAATGACAAAATCCGGCGCGGGCTTGAGATTGATATTTTTTTCAAAACTCATTTTAAAGATGGTATAATAGCAAAACCTAAAGAGGGGCAGCCATGAACACCTTTTGCATCTTAAATAAAAGAAAAGAAAATGAACACCTTCTTTTGCCACTGTGACACTGACAAGGTGACCCACCTACTCTACTCACACAGCAGTAGATTCAGTAGAAAAACAAACCGCAGGCGCATCGCATTTACAACATCCGACACGGCCCCCCTCCGAGCCACCCCCCGCTCCGCGTCCTCCTCCTCGTGCGCTCTCTCTCTCTCTCTCTCACTCGCTCGCTTCTCGGGGCGCCTCCTCCACCTGTCTCGCCTCCCCCTCCCCCTCCCCCTCCCAGGAAACTCCGTGGCGGCGACCTCCCCCACCGCCGCCGCCGCCGCCGCCGCAGCCGCAGCCTCCGGCGCCGCCTCCCAATCCGGGAGGATCCCTCCGGACCCGCCGATTCCCTCGCCGCCGCCCGTGTCCTCCCGCCGCCGGGATCGATCTCCGCGGATTCGACGGCTTCATCGAGGTATCCTCGTATGATGGCTCCTCCCCCCCCCCACGTAGCGGCTCCTTTCGAGGGGGTTGGTTGGTTGGTTGGTTGGTTGGTCGGGGGGGTTTGAGGTTTGAGGCCCCGATGTTTGTTTGGGCGTGCCGTGTGGGGGAAGGTGTGGGAGTTTTTTTTTTCCTCGCGTGTAATTTTTGGCGGTGTTGGATCGGGTTATGGGGGATAGCTGGGAGGTTAGCGAGGTTTGGGGTGTGTGGTTGGGATGGGAGATTGGTTGATCCCGTCGATTAGGGGTGTCCCGCGGCGAGATTTGGTCCCGTTGCGCATTTCTGTTTTTCTTTTTTTGAAATGACCTGATTAATTCAATCCAGTTCGTAGGGTGTAGCTCTCTGTCTGGATCAGATTAGGCTTTAGTTTATCCATGTGTGATTGCTTCCTAGATTTGAACTGGTCGGGAGTGTACCATGTGAATACTGCTTTCGTATGAACTGTGCGGTTACTAACTTCCATTCCTAATTAATATGACTAATTTTTAGGGAAGAAATGACTTGGTACCTATGCTAGTATTTTTTTCCCCTCATGGATAATGCTTGATAACGACTTTGAGAAGGGCAAATAAATTCCTAAAAAATGTTTAGCGTTGCTGTTTTTTTTTTCTTTAGTGTTTTCTCACAGTTCAATATTTACTCATCTACACCATTATTTGATCCACCTTGCAGGTTAAGTCAGCATAGCTAATAACTCCGTCTACTGTTGTGACCTCTGTGGTTTGCTTTGTGTGTTTGGCTTCCCAATCATCTGCATAAACCAGGAAGTGGGTTTGCTTTGGAAATATTTGGGGTCAAACTAGTAGTTGGCACATTGTGATCTGATCATGTTTATGCACAGTTTGTACTGCTAAGCACAATTGGAGTTCTGACTATACAGATGCTGTGCGCATGCTTGCTGGCAATATGAACAACGATAACTATATTGACTTGAGTTCAGACAGTGATATAGATTTTGACTTCGACTCAGATGATTCAGTTGGTGGTTTGGACCAGGAGCTAGCTTCATCTTCTTCTAGGCCTACTGAAAATATAAATGGTCAATATAGAACTCTGCCACCTTCTTTTACAAATGGTAGACATGTTGATAACGCTCGTCATGCGTTAGGTTCAGGTGACAGAGCTTATCCGCATTCAAGTTCTTATAGGGGGTCACCAAATGATTCTGCAAGGGCAACTCCTGCTTCCAACAGAACTGATATTGTAGTCAAGAAGCACAATGGTTTTGCATCGGAAGAAAATGATAATGGCAAGAGGATTCTTCCCTCATCCTTTTCAAATGGCCGCACAACAAATGCTATGCATCCAGTGGTTGCAAGTGAGACACGCAAATTCCCACCATCTTTTACCAATGGAAATTCACAAAGATTGGCTGAAAATAGGATGGGAAAAAATGTTGCCAATGGAATTGGGGAGCCTTCATCGTCAAGGTTTCCGAGCCGAAGTTCTTTTGGTACTGACAACAAGAAGGTCATCACAGACAGTGACAATGGTTTGTATACCTAGTCTCAAATGATTGTAATTCATTCTTACAGTTGCTTGAAATCTGTCCAGGTTTTCTCTGAAAAACTAATGTTTCCCCTTTTTGTGTTTGCCAGAGGATGTCTATGTATATGGAAGCTCCAGTTCACATAGGGTTCTTCCTCCATCTTTTGGTCGCAATAGTTCTGCTAATCACAGCGAATTTGCTAATGGCATTGATATGCAAGGTCGTCTGAACCTGGAAAATAGGATTATAGATTCTGACGAGAGAGCGGTGTACCAGGAAGCACTACAGGCATGTGTTCCTTTGTTCCTAGTTATTGAGGCAATTTTGTATGATTGAGTTGTTTTTCTTCTACGTTTTCTGAATCAAATTGGAGAGTTGATTTGATAGATAATATAAACAGTTGGCACCATAATGTTTTTTTCCTAGTTCATCAATAATCAAAAGGATACTCTTGTGACGTGAAGAGAACCACAGATAGCTAGTTTGGTGTTAAGTTGTTTAAATTTGCAAATTTGTTTAGATTTGCTCATTATCAATCTCCTGGGTTCCTCAGTTTGCTCCTCAAATTATTTGGTTTTCTGACCTTTGAACATACTATAGCTGCCCTCAATTTTTTTGACCTGTTTTGTCCTTGAAAAAATCATACTATTTATTCTCCATTCTTCAAGTAGAAAGATAGAAGTTCTTTGAAGATGATTATACATACTTCTAATTTTACTTCAAACCTGTTTCATATTTTGTTTTGATTTTTTTTTGTTGAATTATATTGCAATCATGAAAGTTGTATTTTTGTTTTTTGAATGAGGCATATAAATTTCTCATTTGTATGTTTATCTTGTCCATGACAAGTTTTTATCCAGTCTAGGATACATTTTCCAGGTAGAAGTTATGTACTTTAGTGATTGAGGTATATGTTGGTCTTTATTTTGAGTCTGCTTTGTGATATTTCTTTTTATACTATGTTATACAGAATATTATCCAGGATAAAAGGGAAGATGATCTGCCTGAGGGTGTTCTGTCAGTACCTCTGCTTAGGCACCAGGTAAATATTTCTCACATAATATTAATTATTTATTGGCTTACTTTATGATTGATAGTGTATTCCATGTTCATTACATACCTTTTCTTTTTGAAAGAAAATGGCATTGGCTTGGATGGTTTCGAAGGAGAATAGCTCTCATTGTGCAGGTGGAATTCTTGCAGATGATCAGGTTACTTCTGATTTCACAACTTCTTGACAAAGATCAATTTCTTATTGTGTTACCATCCTTAAAGTCGAGCAGTTTTCTTTTAACAGGGTCTTGGCAAAACAGTGTCTACAATTGCCCTTATACAGAAACAGAGGATCCAGCAGTCTAAGTTTATGTCTGTTGATTCAGATCGTTTAAAAGCTGAAGCGCTAAACCTTGATGATGACGATGAGGCAGCGCCTGTTGCGGATAATAAGGGGGAGCAGACTAAGAATGATGAACCCAGGAAGGATCTAGGAGCTGGTTCGTCATCAACAGCAGCTGGTACTGGTGACGTTGAAACATGTGCTAGCCTAATGAATACTGCTCCAGATAAGACGGTTGAAAGAAATGTTGAACGTAAGAAGAAGAGTAAGGCAAGCACATCATCTACTATGCAATCCATGACAAGGCCTGCTGCAGGTACTCTAGTGGTGTGCCCAGCTAGTGTTCTTAAGCAATGGGCGAACGAATTGACTGACAAGGTTGGTGAAAGTGCTAAATTGTCTGTTTTGGTCTATCATGGTGGCTCAAGGACCAAAGATCCAAATGAGTTGGCAAAATATGATGTTGTTATCACTACATACACAATTGTGGCCAATGAAGTGCCTAAACAGAATGCCGATGATGACACTGATCAGAAGAATGGTGAAGAATCTTCTGCTGGTAATAAGAGAAAACAACCACCCAAAGCACAGAGCAAGTCGAAGAAAAAGAAAAAGAAACTTAAGGATTCAGACATTTACCTTGCCAGTGGCCCAGTTGCAAGAGTGCGATGGTTTAGGGTTGTCCTTGATGAAGCTCAGACAATAAAGAACTTTCGAACTCAAGTGGCTAAAGCCTGTTGTGGATTACGTGCAAAAAGAAGATGGTGCTTATCAGGAACACCTATACAAAATGCAATTGATGAGCTCTACAGCTATTTCCATTTCTTGAAATACGATCCATATTCTACTTATAATTCATTTTGTACAATGATAAAGCACCCGATTGCTAGAAATGCAGTTCATGGGTATAAGAAACTTCAGACTGTGTTGAGGATAGTTCTCCTGCGCCGCACAAAAGGTGATAAAAACTTTTTTTATTCCATATGTTTTCTGCTGTTCCTTTTTTGCCTATATACTAGCTTAGGATATTTCATTGTAAGGAAGCAATTTCAACCACAACACATAGCATTCTTTGTTGCTACAGATTACAGAAACACGCTTAACACTCTGCATGTGGTTAAACATCTACTAGGGTCTGTATTTGCTATTGTGGTGGCTTTGTATTAAATTGATATATGCCATACAAACATTAGGTAGACAGGTTCGATCAATTTACCTTAATTGATGAGCAGATAGTGGAAAGTTATGATATTTCCTTTTTTTTCGTCAATATAAAGGACACTGCATTACAATTGCTTGCCAGTTGCCATTTTACTACAAGTCCTCACTCCTCAGCTACTTGTTTCTACTCAGTATGCTATACCTCCTTTCTCTTTTTCAAAGAAATTTGATATGGTTACATTATTGTTGCAAGATTTTTAATAGCATATTAATGCTAGTATGTTACTCTAGTTTTTCCTTTGATTAAATTATCTGTCGTTGATCACATGTTACCTTGTTTTATGTAGAAACTCTGATTGATGGTGAGCCAATCATAAAGCTACCTCCAAAGACAATTAATCTGGATAAAGTAGATTTTACAAAAGAGGAGCGAGCTTTCTATTTGACGCTGGAAGAACGCTCGCGGCAACAGTTCAAGGTTGGTTAAATTTTAAAGTCAAACTTTTCTGTGGACGGCCTCCGTATAGTGTAGATTTGTGTTGCATCTGGTATTCCGAATTCTAGTCATGAAATGCCATTTTGGTCATGCATCGACTAAACTTTCAAAACTTTGAAAATTTATATTTGGATTGTATACATGATAGACACCCATGGAGATTTGTCATGTGAAGGCACTTCTCATAATATCATAATTTTATTGAGGTTTACAAATATTATAAAAGTTAGTGGTCAAATTTGCATTTTTGAACACCACGTAGATGTCCAAAATGACATTGATGTGACCAGGAGAAGTGATGTTAAATCTTCAACATTACTGAATTTCCTTTTGTCCTGGAGGCTGGAGCAAGTATGTGTAGAATATTGTTGTTATGATCCAACAAAGTTTCCTCATGCTTCCATTGAACCATTGTCTCATATCAAATGTTATAAAGTGGATGTTAATTTGTGTTCCCTTCTGATTACTGGAGATTTCACAAGTGTAGTTTCTGAATGCTGATATATTGTGATCCATTTCAGGCATACGCTGCTGCTGGTACACTCAAACAGAACTATGCCAACATTCTTCTAATGCTGTTGCGCCTTAGGCAGGCCTGCGATCATCCTCTTCTTGTGAAGGGGCATCAGTCAGAGTATAAAGGCGATGGTTCTATAGAAATGGCAAAGCAACTTCCTAAAGAAATGATAATAAATTTGCTTGCAAAGCTGGAAGTTGGAGAGTTTTGTTCTGTATGCAGTGTAAGCAATCTAATCTCTCTCCATTATGTTGAATCTGACCTATTCTCTCTCCATTATGTTGAAATGATAATACACGTAATCACCAGTATTATTGTTGTTATTGTCTGGGGCTGTGTGTGTATGTATAGGCGCACAACCTCCATGCAACATATGAAAAATTGTGTAGTCAGACTGAAACATAAATTTGTCCTACCTATATCCTCTGTTATTTCGTGTCCTTGGAATAAAATCATAATATGCATTGTGGAGGGGCAGTGGATGCTAATTAAATGATAACAATGATAGAATATCTGATAACCTGAATCAGCCCAACTGTTCATATTTAACGAGAAAACACCTTGGGGTTATTGCATCCAGAGCTACAATGCCGCAATGCCAAGCTGTCAGGCTATATGTTTTTGCAAATATCCTTGCCCTTCTTGTTTCTATATCTTTGGACAATCTAATTACTGGTGTAATTCAATCTTCTTTTGCAATCTTTGGACTTCTTTTACGGCAGGATGTACCTGAGGATGCCGTCGTGACGATGTGTGGCCATGTCTTCTGCTATCAATGTATATACGAGCGGATAACTACTGATGAGAATATGTGTCCCTCCCCTAATTGTGGAAACACATTAAGTACCGATTCAGTATTTTCGTCAGGAGCGTTAAGGATTTGCATGTCTGGTGTATCCAGTTCTCATGCATCAGGGAGTTCATCATTAGATGACGAGTCATCTTCTATTAGTCAAACTAGTTACATATCCTCAAAGATACAGGCGGCAATCGATATACTGAATTCGATCATTAACACCTATGCCCTTACCGACAGTGATACCGTCGAATCAAATCCTAGCCGAGTGGCCCCAGTGAAAGCCATTGTGTTCTCCCAGTGGACTGGCATGCTGGATTTGCTGGAGCTTTCATTGAATAGCAATCTCATACAGTACAGGAGACTAGATGGAACAATGTCCCTCAATTCAAGAGATAAAGCAGTGAAAGATTTTAACACAGACCCAGAGGTCCCTATTTTCTGTTTCCACTCTCTTTTTTACTACCTTGTTTCTCTTATTACTTTCAGCCATTCATTCAGCAGTTATTCTGAAAGGAATCCTTTTGTATCCTCAGGTCAGGGTTATGATCATGTCACTGAAAGCAGGTAATCTTGGTCTCAATATGGTTGCTGCTTGCCATGTAATTCTCCTTGATCTTTGGTGGAATCCTTATGCTGAGGACCAGGCAATTGATAGAGCACACAGAATTGGTCAGACTCGTCCTGTTACTGTCTCCCGTTTAACCATTAAAGATACGGTGGAAGATCGCATTTTAGCTCTGCAGGTAATAGCTTGTCTTTCATTTGCACTGTGCTTTCATAAACTTGTCTTTTTCCTACTTAGATAACAATAACATACGCCTCTTTTTTTTTTTTTTTTTTTTTTGAGGGATGAGTTATACTAGTAGCATTGATATTCTCAAATCGTGTCAGCGTTCATTCGATGCTTGTACTTGAATATGTCGTAGGTGCTTGAAATTCAAGCCCAGCTTTTCAAAACTTTAATGTGATGGTTGGAAAATGAACAGGGCAGCTGATAGTGCAAGTTGTAATATTCTTGTTATTGTTATTTTAGGGGGTGTTAGTTGTGTACCGATAACTAAACAACTTTACCGAGGTTGATTTAATACTTTTTTTTTATCGATCATGGGGGTTAAGACAACAATTTTGATTGCATAATCTCATGTAGATATGAATTATCTTGACACAACCAACATCCCTGATAATTTGGGGGTATGCTCGTCCAATGATGTTTCCGCTTCTTTACAGGAGGAAAAGAGAGCCATGGTTAGCTCTGCTTTTGGCGAAGACAAATCGGGTGGCCACGCGACTCGGCTCACCGTGGATGATCTGAAGTATCTATTTAGGTTTTGATTGGAAGCACCCGTGATCTCTGCGATACAATGACATTGTATAGTAGCCTGTGATCTTTGCCTAGATGCAACTCCAACAGCTGTGTACCGCTGCTGAGTATTTTGGTGCGAGGTACTGCGGATTTGTGTCCTTCCATGGCTCGCAGCAGCTCCAGTTTTGTCATGCTCTGATTTGCTAGACGAAATGTAGTAGGCTTAGTCGCTAGCCTGTGTTGAATATTTGACCCCAGCTTGTAGGAGAATTCTGCCATTGCTCCCTGTTTTATCAAGAGATCCATCTGGTGGTGTATATATATGTGCCATATAATGTTGTTCTGTGTAACATATAACTTAATATTCGAAGAGTATTCTGTCACTACTTATTGCATGTGTGAGTGGGCATACGCTGCTTGTGGGTATTGCTGTTCGTACGATATGTGGGTCCCACCTGTCAGTGATACGCCCACCCCTTCCATTTTCTCTCTTCCTCTCTTCCTCTATTCTGTCGCTGACAGCCTGACATTGCCTTGAAACGCTTGATTGAGACTCTGAGGGGGTTGTTTAGATCTATGGGGGTGTAAAGTTTTGGCGTGTCATATTGGATATTATATAGGGTATCGCATGGAATGTTTGGGCATTAATAAAAAAACTAATTACAGAATCCGTCAGTAGACAGCGAGACGAATCTATTAAGCATAATTAATCTGTCATTAACAAATGTTTACTGTATCACTATATTGTCAAATCATGTAGCAATTAGGTTTAAAAGATTCGTCTCGCAAATTAGTCGCAATCTATGCAATTAATTATTTTTTAGCCTATATTTAATACTTCATACATGTGTTTAAACGTTCGATGTGATATGGTGAAAAGTTTTGGGGTGGGATCTAAACATGGCCTAAGCTTTCAGTTGGATCTTCAAGACTTTGAGCTGAAAATGATCAAAATTTCGCAAATTCAAAGAGCAGAAGTAGCTGGCATGTGGACCCCACGATCTCCAAGCCCTACAAACCAATGAACTCGTGCAGTTAAACTTCCCGTATCCTAAGCGAGAAAGCGGAAAGTGTACGTTTCCCTTTATAGAAAGCCGTCTCCATCCCGCAGAGCCGCAATACGCCTCTCATTCAAAATTCAAAAAAAGAAAAAAGCAAATCCCAAAACCACCCCCTCTCCTCTTCTCTTCTCTCTACCCCTTTGGCCCTTTCGCACAGGGCGCGCGCAGGCGGCGGCGGCGGCCAGCGATGAGGAAGGCGAGAGCAACCGCCGCGGCGTCCAAGCCCAAGCCGAGGGCCACGGCTAGGGCCAAGCCCAAGCCCAAGCCCAAGACGAAGCCCAGCCCCGCCTCCCTCCTCTCCGGCGGCTCTTCGCCGGCATCCGGCGACGCGGCCGACGACCTCAGCTTCCTCTCGCCCTCCTCGCCGGTGGTGAAGCCCAAGCCGAGGTCACCGCTCGCCGCCCCGGCCTCCTCCCCCATCTCCCCCTACGCCTCCCCCGCTTCCGCCTCCGTCTCCACCGTCGCGGACCTGAGGATCCTCGCCGCGTCCCACCTCGACTCCCTCAAGCGCCGGCTCGACGCGCTCCACGGCGACTCCGCCCGCGACCTCGAGGCCTCCCACTCCCGCATCTCCAAGCGCTTCAAGGTGACCCTTCTTCTCCGCTCCCTTCCGATGATCGCCGATCGCACCGAGTGATGTCGTGATTTCGCGTATGATCTCTCTTCAGATGCAGACTCAGAGCTGCCTGCAGCTGGCGGATGAGGCGGAGAAGGAGCACAGGAAGATGGCCGACAAGATCTCCGAGCATGCTGAGGCAGTGAAGGTACCCTAGATCACTATGTTCTCTACGGTTTGCATCCAATTTGACCGCACTTTGGTTAATATTCTGAATTTCTGATGCTTCCTGTGAACCCCAGGCCTCGTACAAGAAGTTTGTGGCGGAGGTGCAGGCTTCTACATCTCGTGGTACGGCGTGGAGAAGATACATTGCTATGTTCGCTTGATTTTTAGTTCAGATCCACATGTTGCTCAAGTCAGTTAAGCATTGTGTTCATGTGTTGTGCTCTAACTTTCCGGTGATGGTCAGTGTGCAAGGTGACTATCCCTGAGATGGCGAAGTCGGCAGACAGAGCTATTGATGGACTGCGCAGCCGCTACAACATCCCAGCTACGGCAGCTTAGTTTGCAGTTCTGGCTGTGACCTATGTTCACTGACTAGGTAAACATTTCTGGACATGGAAATCATGGATTGATTATGATACTCTGTATCTTTTGTGCATTGATGTTTCTGCACGACTGTTGAGTACTGCTGTATACATGGCACTGATGATTTTGTCTATAGATCATACCTTGTGTGTAATCATCCCTTCTAGGATAGTCTCGCCATTTCATTGTTGTGTTTATCTGCTTGATGGAAGTAGGACACATGAGTTCCCAAACTCTGTAGTTTTGGTGGTAGGAATTACAATGCATGGAACATGACATCACCATGTATGCCTGATGCCATGCTACACGCCTACATTATCACTTCTGCAAAACAGTTTTGGTGTTATTTGATAGGGTACCACTCTTGTTTGAGAATGGCTTCTAACTGCACTGTGTAGCATGGGCAATTTTGTTTCTCATTTGTGAATAAGCATTTGTTCAACTTGAGGTGATGATCACTCATCCTTCTACACATTAAAAATAATGTGGATGCTATGCATTTCGGTTATTTATGCCAATTGGAATTTTAAGTGGGTATCATGGGTTTCCAAATGCTTTACAAAGTTATCCTTAAGCCTTGTGGTATTAATTCATAAACTAGTAGTTTTTCATGAAAGACAGTTTTTGAACAGATGCATTTGTCATACTGCTGATGGCGATTGACTGAGAACTTGCCTGACATTGTAAAGTGTAGACAAACTGTATTAAGCTACTTGTTGTCCTGATCTTGAAGCATTATCCTGAGTCTTGAACTATCGAAGATTTTAATTGTGCTTACTGTAGTACTTCAATATTAAATTGCCTGGAGGGATGGAAGTATCTAGAATTCATGTGTTATAACATTAACCCCAGATTCATGAAAAATCGTTATAGAAGTTCCTTTTGGTGGGCGTAGATTTATTGACCGAGAAGGACTGATTGCTAGCAAAGAGTAGGCAATATATTTCCCTGGTTCCTCTATTTTATTCTTTGCAGCACATGTAGTGCCAACAAAGTTTCTTTTTCATGTATTGTTCAATGTTCACCAATTGCTTCATCTTGTTATTACACTACGTATATGCATCATCAGACTGCCTTGCGGTGCTTTGCTTCTTTTACTTGGCTGATTATCTATGTTTACTGTACCAGGTGTCCATCACTACATCAACTAGACTAGCAAATTCTTGGGCTTAGTGGAAGGAACTTGAACAGTTGTGGATAGGAGTTACTTGCACCTGATATAGTTCTTTTACAGTCTCGTTCTCAGATACATCGAGACATCGAGCAATCGTACGCACATATTTCTGTCTAATTGCATTCACTCCGCAGCCTGTGTTAATATTGTCACTCTCTTTTGGTATAGTTGTAAGGGTATAAGAACATTCCGAAGGTGATACAGTTTATTCTAGCCCTGTGAAGCAAAGAAAACAGTTTGCAAAACAGTTTGCAATTATCATGTCTTGAAAAGTAACGGTTCACTGCAATAAAAAAGCCAGCCCTTCATTATGACTTCTCTCCATAATGTTTTCATGGTTACTCTCGATAATTTCAGTTTGCATGTTCTAGTTGATTTCCGCAAAATTGTTCTTAGCATTTTTAAATTTCATCTTACATCAGTCGGTACTCGGGACTGGTTTATTGTCTCCAATCAATGGTGTCTGGGTTCAGTCACTCCATACGTTTTAGAACTGCTGCTGATCTGTTGTGCAGAAATGAGCTATGTATGCAAGTTGACTGAAGTGGAATGCTCAAGCAGGTTTTTGGAGCTTCAGTTTATGCTATAGTGGAGTATAACAAATTACCATGAACAAAACATAATGCGGTTAGATCCTTATTAATCCATGACAATGGATACTTCTCAATATCTGTCCTAGTTTGTTTCAATCTCAATATACTGTAATTAGCCTTTTTGTATAACTCGGCCTCCGAATTGTTGAATTCCTCGCAAAAAAAAGGGAATGAAATTTAATTTCCTAGAGAAAAAAGGAATTGAAATTTGAATGGTTGAGACCCGGCTTTACAATCCCAATTGCCTAGTGAGATTTGTTTTTTTTTTCCACTAATTTCGAACTAATTTTAACACATAATTTCGAATGAATTTCGACAAATTTTGAACGAGACGCGCATTTTGACCCACAGCTCTAGATTGATCGAAATCCGTCAAGTTCATGAACCGTTAAGAGACTTTGGCTAACAGGCGTTTTCCTAATTACTGCTACAGCAGCTCGGCAAAGTGATCTTGGGCGATCTGCACCGTTCATTTTCAATCCAACGGTGATGAGCGCGACCGCTCAATTTGCAGTGAAGCTAAGCACTGGAGAGGATCTCAACCCGCCTCCGCTTCTCTCCAGTCTCCATCCCCCTCTCTCTCCTCTGCTTCCGGCGGACGCGCCGCCGGCCATCTCCCCGCCGCCTCGCCGCCTCGCAAGCGCCACCCCGCCCGCCGGCGAAGAGCTTTGTGTGCGCGGCGTTGGACCGGCCTTCCTTTACTTGCCGGACCGACCACGCGCGGCCGGCGAGCAGGTAGGTGGAAGGAGGGAGGGGCCCCGACGACGCGGCCGGCCTCGCTCCACCGGCCTCCGTCTCGGTTCGGCTCGAATTGGAGGTATTCGCTCTTTCTCTCGTAGCTCCTCCATCCTCCTACTCCTCCACAGCGCTTCGCGAGCGGTGTGTGCCTGTGTGGCGTAGACTGTAGATCTGTCAGGATTTGGATTCATCTCTTCCGCTCCAATTCGTTGATGAGCGGTGCAGAACTAAGGCCAGTCACAATGGGGGTTTCACTGGTGTGTCATGCACATTTAATAGGGGTAAGACTGAATAAAAAATGATTATTTGCATGAAATGGGGATGAGAGAGAAGGAAAGAGTTTCATCCTGGTGAAACTCGTCAGCGTCGTTTCCAAGTCCTCGGTAACAGAGTGAAACCCCCGTTGAGGCCGATTCGTTTCATTCACCGGATCTCTTGCGTCCGCCTCCGCCGTGCGACCTCCGCATTCTCCCGCGCCGCGCCGGATTTTGGGTACAAATGATCCCAGCAACTTGTATCAATTAAATGCTTTGCTTAGTCTTGGAAACGTCAAAGTGAAACCCCTCCACTGTGGGGATTGTTTCATAAAAGATTTCATTTGAGAGAAGATGGTATAATATTTTGGGTAGCCGTGCAATGACACTAGCCATTGTGACTGGCCTAAGAGCAGTTTGTTTCCGAAAAAAATTTGGGGTCCAGATGTTCAGTTGAACTCCCGTGTGGCCTTGCCCCTGTAAATTGTGGTTGAAGCTCGCAAGCACTGCTAATTTGCACAAAATCGTAGTCGTATCATCTCTTGTTGGGACTTCTCTCTGTAGACTGTAGTTGAGGTTGCCTGTTGTGTTAAGCTTGCTGCATGCTTCATAATCATTTACGTATGATCTTATCTTAGCTTTGTTGTACTTTTCCTGTGTTTTGTTTAACCACATACTGTAAAAATAATATGATTGTGGTGTATCTTTGTAGGCAGTTATGGATCCCATGGATGATCATGACAGTGACGAGTTGCCGTCAGGGGTGGCGTCAGATGAAGCTCACGTTGCCTTCAGAGCGAGAACTAAGAAAAGGTCCAAGGTGTGGGATGAGTACAAGCCTATCTATGTAAACGGAGTGGTTCAAAGCGCGGAATGCCGCTACTGCCATATTCTGATGAGTTGCAAAGGTTCTGATGGACATTCCAATGGAACGAGTCATTTGTGGCGGCATCAGAAAATTTGCCGGGCGAAAGAGGACTTGGATCTGGCTCAGTTACATGATACTGGTTTCCCATATGGTATGCTTGCTTTGTTTCCCTTGGGGATCATCTTCAGTTTAATTGGCATCTGCATCGGTGTATTAGTTGATTTGACAGTGTGTAAATTTTGTACTGTTTTATAGTCGTTGAGAGAGTTTTGGATGATCATCAACTTATTATGGTACCCTTGTATAAAGCATTCAAACTTTAACCTACTTTAGGCAATGATGATAATGATTAGGGACATTTTAACAATGACAATAGTTGAGGGCATTGCCTTTTAGGTGCTGTATATTAGCTTGTTGGTTAAATCAATGATAGGAATTATAGGGCATTCCCACTTAGGTGGTATATATTTTGTTATTTCTTAAAACAATGACAATATTTTATTAATATTTTGATCCCCTATCAGAGGAGCTGACAGAATGGGCTAGGCTTTAGCTGATGATTTTCCATGATTAAGAAGATCACATAAGGAATTATATAGATATGTTAATCAGGGTTCAGGTCCTTACTGGAAACTGCTGGTAACTGGTGGTTACCAGCAACCCTGGCCAGGAGCATTGTTTGCAAAAAATAGTGTGTTAAAAATTTTAAATCTAAACTATACCGTCACAATACTAAGAGCATCAGAGTAAGCTATAAGTTACAAATAATTTACTAATTTACCTCAAAACCTTAAATTTTTTTCATCTCCGTCACCCTGCTGGTCTGCATTGCTCATAGAATAACTCTTTTTCTGGCAAGATGAGTGATACGATTGCCCATTTAGTTTAGCAAGAGTAGAATGGCTGCTACCAAGGTGGTTGAAAAGCTGCAAGTTACTTGGTTTATTTTAGGATTAGATGTTCCCCCTGTGGGAATTTCTAGTATTTTTCTTCTTCTGTCAATGCCATGGGAATTTTTAAACTTCTCTGCTGTATATTATTTTATCTGTCTGTGGCTGTAATTATGGTGGAAGCATCCTTTTGTTTTTTTTTTTTTCGGCCAAGTTGCATATCTTTCATCTTTATGTGTATTCTGACTAAACTATCCATGCTTTATACATAATAGTGATGAATGATATTAATCCGGTGGATCAAATTCATCCAGATTCACTTGATGATATAAAATTGGCAAGTCACAGTGACAACAGCAGGTTCAGATCAAAGGTGTGGGAGGAGTTTACGCCTGTATATGTTGAGGGGAGAATCCAGGGTGCTGAATGTCTCCATTGCCACAAGCGACTTAGTGCAGATAAAGGTAGAAGCCATTTGAACCGGCATACTCAGACTTGTCCGGCACGAGGAGAAACTGGAATAAATCATAAGAGTCCGTTTTCTCCCTCCAGTGCACCAAGTTTTAAATCTGGGGTTCAGGATGAGCTTTCACCTGCCTTGACAAACGGTAAAGTTCAGATTGCAGAGTATGCTAGCAAACTTCTCAAGGTTAATAGCTCAGTTGACAAAACTCCCCAGAGCCAGCACATTCTAGCTTTGCCAGCACGAGACAACATGACCAAAGAACAAAATACCTCATCTACTCATGCTGCTCCAGATGTAAGCACCAGTAAATTTGATCAGGAAACATCTTATCAAGAGCTAATTAGAATGATAGTTTTGCATGGATATCCCTTGTCAATCGTGGAACATGAAGAAATGAAAAGATTTGCAAAAAGCCTCAACCCGTTGTTTAACATGGCATCAAGCATTGATGTGGAAGAGTATTCAACTCTTTTATATCAGAAAGAAAAGGCTGACCTTAAGGAGAAAATTGCTGCACTTTCATCCCGACGGATTTCCTTATCAGCAAGCATTTGGGCTCCTCATGGAGCTGAGCCCACTGTGAAGTACATCTGTTTGACAGCGCACTTTATTGATGCAGAATGGAGGCTTCAAAGGAAAATAATCAAGTTTGGTGTGTTTTGGTCGTTGCCTACTGATTTGGAAAGAATGATACTTTATAAGGAGGCTTGTGTATTAGACTCTGAAAGTGGGCCATATAATGTCATAGCAGAAGCTATAAGTGATTGGAATCTTGATAATAAGCTTTTTAGCTTGATATCCGTCAGTGAAATTAGAAACCATGAAGGTACCACAAAGCTTAAGGACATGCTCATACAAAAAAATAGTCTTCCTATTAGAGGTGAGCTATACAATATTGCCTGTGTGGATGACGTGCTTAACAACATTGTTTCAAAAGGGCAATCAATGCTTCACCTTGTTGATAATATACTAGAAAGATTTATGCTGGCACATGCGTACTCATCGTTAACTCAACAGCAACTTTTTGAAGCTGTTACAAACATGGGTTTGAAGTGTCCCCAGGAAGACGCAAAATGGTGGCACAAAATTTACTTCAGGCTTGAAGTTGTTCTGCATTGCAAGAAGGCATTTCCATCTGAAGAGTTGTTACCTGCAGAAGACTATAAGGTCGTTGAGTCTATCTGCAAGATTCTGAGGGCTTTTTATCGTGCTATTGAAGTAATCTCTGGTCCTGTTTGCCCAACAGCAAATGTGTACTTCAATGAATTATGGAAAGTTAGAACAACTTTGCAAGAAGAAGCATCTACTGATCACACTGAAGTTGCTAGCATGGTGAGGGAGATGCAGGAAGCATTCCATGAATATTGGGAAAATTCATACCTATGGCTGTCAATACCTATAGTTCTTGATCCCAGATTCAAAATTACTTTTATTGAGTTCCGTCTTAAACGAGCTTTCGGTGCTGAAGCAGCAAAGTATGTAGCTGCTGTACGTGAAATAATCAGGGAGCTGTTTCATGAATATTGCGGCCCTGTGGATAAAGGTGTTCACACGTCAAACAATGAAGCTCGTGATGTTGAAATGGATGGATTTGACAGTGATTCATTGGAGGATTGGGATCAGCATCTTAGTGCACAATCAAGGAGCCAACGGTTGTCAGAGCTTGACAATTATCTCGAGGATGGCCTTGTTCCAAGGAAAGATGATTTTGATATTCTGAACTGGTGGATGATTCATTCTACAAAGTATCCAACTCTTTCAGTTATGGCACAGGATGTCTTGGCAATGCCATCATCTGCTCTTCATTGCAAGGCCGCCTTCAGCAGTGAGGGTCCAGTAATTCATAAGCAATGGAGCACTTTGAACATCAAGACAATTGAGGCGCTTGTGTGTACCCAGGATTGGATTAGATAGAATGGTAAATTCTGCAGTCCTGAGTTCTGTTTGTTTTCCTTAGCTACTTATGTGAGTTCGTTTAAATAAGCATGTGCTTGCTTCATGGTTCGTACTTTACTTTTGCTTCTTACTTCTCGAGAAAGAATTCGACAAACATCTTTTAGGAATGCAAAATTAAAGTTTGTCACAGCATCATCTCGTAGTAGGTAGGTACTTCAAAGTTCAAACCAATGTAGTGGTAGATAGATAGGTTGTAATCTGATGGATGTGAGGCATACTGTTAGCTTATGTTGTATGTAGACATGCTTGGATCATGACTTTGCTTCTAGGTTGGATCGAATAAAATCATTCTGCTATATTCAAATACTGCTCAGCTCATCGAATTGCTCTCTTTTTATCTCTGTAATGTTCTAACATTAGACGTTCCTGTCAACAATTTTGCAGGCTGCATGCTGTACAAGACATCTTGCTGCTGAAGATTTTCACAAAGTACATACTCATGGTACTTCTAACCTAGGAATCTAGGACACTGTTGGAAAGAGTTTACTGCTCATTCGGCTTACTGTATTAGACATCTAGCAGATGATAGTATGTCTTAATATTTCTGCAATTCTTCTCCAAATGTGTATAGAACTAGTCGTTCACCCGTTTGTCATGGAATGTACAAAATGTACACCTCTGGGTGTTCTGATGTATCGTACAATGTTATTTATTGTATCGGCATTTTTAGGATTATAACACAGATGTGAATGGTAGTGCCATTGAGTTACTATTGCGGTTTCTGAATTTGCTATGATGGGTTTTACTGCATTTACCTTGGGGCTGATGTGTAAGTGTCGACGACAGATAGAACCTTTTTGCCATGCTAAAATTTACATATAATTGGGTGCAATTCTACCTCAAAAAAGACACTATAGTCATGGTTCCTTTTTCCGATTGTTATTTTTTCTTTACCTGATGCAATTGGAATGTCAGGTCCAAAGGTGGAAAATGGTAATAATTGTAATAGTGCTGGATCTGGGTGCCCCTGTTTGCAATCTGCTATGTCTTCACTTGCCAGCATGCATGGTCGGTTTTGTTGTTAACGGAAACGGGATGCTGTTTTCTCGTTGGCCATCTCACTTATGTTTATGCCAGTGTTTTCCTCTCACAGGAGAACAAAACAGAAGAATATGGTATAAAAGAACATATGGATCTGACCAGACAATGGACAAAGCAGAGTGACTCAAGGAAAAGGGAAAAAAAAAGAACCCAAACAATTAGGGCAAAACAAGATTATAAGAGTGAGCACACTTGGGCAAACAGTGCTCCGTCTGTGTTTGGAATCAATCCAGCTAGTGGAATTATCTCGAAATCATCCGTCTTACTGCCATCAAGATCAAGTACTAGAAGCAACGTCAGTTAGACAGACAATTCGAAAGAACACCACTTGTTAGATTTGATCCCAAACACCGATGGAGTAGCGTCTGCCTAAGTGGGCCTTGGCTCCTCTGCACCCCAACAACCTAAGAAGAATTCATGGAGGCAAAAAAAAAAAAAAAAAAGCAAAATTTACCCCCATGGATTGGTCATTCGGATGCAGGGGAGCCAAGTCCTACTTAAGCCTAGTCACGAACGAGGTGACTAGCTGCTCGCCGCCGGCGGTGATGCCACGGCCGCCGCAGTAGCGCCGGAGGTGCGGGTGCCCCTCGGGCCTCGCCGGAGGAGGTGGATGAGCAGAGCCACGCCGCCGTGGAACGCCGCGCACAAGGCCATGATTGCGCACGCCTGGCACGACGACGGATCTTGCGGAAGCTCCGGCGCGGCGGCGATTGCCGCGGAGACCACGCAGACGGCGCCGACGACTGAGGCGCGCATTTCCGGTGAGGTCAGTCTCAGAAATTCTCTTCTTGTTTTTTTTTTTTTTTCACACAGGTCACAAGAAGGGAGAAGGAACAAAGAGGGAGAGGCGTAGTAGGGAGTAGGCGTGCGATCGAGTTTGCGCTTAAGCTGAACGGAGAGAGCCCCGCACTTATATAGATTTTCTAGGGTGAAAAGGGGCGCGTGGCCGCTACGCACGCCGGATCGATCGAGCCGCTGTCCGATGGGCGCTGGCGGTTGTCATGCAGCGGACCTGTCGCTCTCGGTTGTCTGTCATGGACTCGATCATGGGACCTGTCGGCTATGGGCTGTCGCTCTCGGTGGCGGCCGAGCCTGTCGGTTAGAGCAGGTACAATAGTATAATGTAAGCCAGCTATAAATATATTTTAAAAAGATAAAAGAAAAGAGAGAAGAGCAGCTGTAATCAGCTGCAGCATGGACTCCAAGACGTAATGTGTGTATGAGAGGTGGGACTAGGTATTTAATAGTATAGTAAACAACTATTATAAGAATTACCTATTACATTGGTTATAAATAATTTAAAGCTAATAGTTGACTATACTATTAACCATGCTCTCGGTGGCGGCAAGCCTGTCGGTTATGAACTGTCGCTCTCGTCGCTCACACAAATGCTCTGCTTTTCGGCAGAGTAACCCGCGTCTCGTGGTCGTACGGGTGCCGTCTCCGCGCGGCGCGGCGGGCCAAGACGACGCTCACGCACGCACGGACGATTGCAGAAGATGGATCGCAAGATGCCAAAAGGAGTACGTACGTACTATTATGACCATTGACTACCGACTTAAGTTACTGCCTCCATCTCAAATATAATTTTTTTTCCACAAATATAAGAATCTTTAGAGTTGAATATATATATTAATAAAGAAGTAGTAAGAATTTAATGTAGGATATTATAATTGATTGACAAATGAAGGTTAGCGAAGAAAATTAAATGCTAAAGATTTGTGACTGGTTGGAAATATATTTTGGGATAAATTGTAAGGGCTATAAATTGTTATATTTTAGAACGGAGGAAGTATTAATTTTTGGTGGGTTGAGAATTTTGGATTCCAACATCTACATATGGCTCCGTTCTTATCTAACTAAAATAGAGATTTTATCTTTGTTTCATTAGCATGTTTTTTAAACTGTTAAACCGTATATTTCATGCTAAAACTTTCTATATTAAAATTACTTAAAAATATTAAATAATTCACTTTAAAAATTTATAATAATTAAAAATTAATTAATTATTTGCTAGTAGGAACTAGCAAGTGATGGAGGTAGAAGACGACGAATGCGACGCTGAGATCGTAATGCGCTGGAAAACGAATTGGGTGGGGTGAGGAGAAGGCGGTGTGGTTTCTACTTTGGGGTCGATATGTTCCATTCTATCTTGAAAAACAAAAATGAAAAAAAGATTGACAGAATGTCAGCTGGACAATTTGACCATAAGCTCAGCTTTTAAAATTTTAGTCAAACTTTTAAATTTTGAGTTTGAAATTTTTAAATTTAATTTAAATTTTTAAAATTTTGAGATGAATGTTTTTTAATATGAGTTAGATGTTTTAAATCTTGAGTTGAGAGTTTTTAAATCAGAATTAAAAGTTTTAAAATCTAAGTTGAAAGTTTTTTTCTAAAAAAATTATTGAGTTGAAAATTTTTAAATCTGAATTAAAAGTTTTAAATCTTGATAGGAATGTTTTCAAATCTGAGCTGAAAGTTTTCCAAATCTTAGTAAAAAGTTTAAAAACTTTCAACTCATGATTTGAAACTTTCAACTATTTTCTGTAACTTTAAACTAAATTATTTATGTATTTCTTAAGAAAACTAGGAAGGTAGCCCGCGCATTCGCGCGGGCATGTATGATTATATGTATTTGAAGAATTTATAAGGCCAGAATATCAATCGAATGATAATTGCCACACTTCAAAAGTAATATCTTTTCACAAATTTTCTTCATCGGTATTGCTTGGATAATTTTTTCAATCTAACTATTAGCTTTAAGCTACAACATTTAATTCAGATAAATTTTGGCACTTTATCCAATCACATTGTTTGTATTGATTACATCTACCTCTTAAAAGGTCTAATACTTAAGTGGTGAGAAACTGAGAACCACACGAAAAAAAGCTCGAGCAGTAATCCTTCATACATGCATGTGCTAATACATGAGTGATATTTCTCTTCTTATTAGTTATGAATATTTGTTGGATAATATATGATGGAATAATATATATTGTTAAATTTATTTTTTTTACTAATTGTAACACTATTTGGACGAGAATGACATGGAAGAATGTAAATTTTGGTTTCATGTGGTATCTGTTTAATAAAAATATAGTTAATGTTAAGAAAATATGAGTGGTGAAGGTTCGTAAATGAATACAGTGGCTACTATTAATTATTTAAAAAATTATTAAGATAATTTGGATGAGAAAGATAGAGCTAAATATATTTTCATGTAATATTTTTAAATTAATATATAGTTAATATTATATGTAATCCTATATAATTTACATATGTTTAACAGGAAGCTAATGGATATTTTCTTGTACATAGAAACATAATAACGTTTTTATTCAAGATGTGGTCATAGCACGGTGGCAGTGGTGATTAGCATTCATGATGCACCCATCAACCCGGTTTCGAGTCTCCTCAAGTATACTTAGCAGAAACCATTGACACCAATTTCTTACTTGTTGTCTATTTTTTTTATTCGAGAATTATGAAGCACTACTACAGAAAAGCACATAAAGATCGGTATATAGGTGCTGAAATAGATAAACCGACACCTAAAGGTCAGTATATAGGTGCTGAAATAGATAAACCGACACCTAAAGGTCAGTATATAGGTGCTGAAATAGATAAACCGACACCTATAGTGCTTTTCTCACTCCCGCATGTTGACCAAATATATAATCGACACCTTGAACAATTATATGTGTCGGTATTAGAGAAAAATGAACACCAATATTATACGTACCTATTATTTATTATAGATACCGGTTAGTTAAAAAAACCAACACCTATAATATATTATAGTCACTTTTTTAAAAAGGTAGCCTACAAACCAAGGCAAGCCGCACGGGAGAGGGAGAGAGTCGCGTCGTTCTGGAGATCTTATCTATTTGCTCTCTCTCTTTCCCTCGCTCATCCTTATCTGCTTCTTCTTCTATTTTTTTATGGGAGTAGTTATATTTATGGCGTCATATTTTTTATAAAAAATACTCGACATGTATTTACATTATAAGTCTCTAAATTACATATGTAATTTTAGTGTATTGACAATGTAAATACCAAAATTACATATGTAAGTCCTAAAATTACATATGTAAATCCCAAAATTACATCCTAATACATATGTAAGTGGGGTGTAACTACTGTGTAAATTTGTAAATATATAAATAACTACCCCAGCAGTCACATACATGTAAGTGTGAACGCAGCAAAACAGCGGGCAGCGATGGTATGAGCACAATGGATTTAACTTGACACGAAACTTATAGCGTATCCAGTGGCCACAAAACTGACTGCTATGGAGCCAGAATTCCGGTGACAGAAATATAGTAAAACCGTTTTTTTATTTGGTGGAAGGTTAGGTGGGATGCAATCTTTTAATAGATTTAATCTAATGACTTAGAATAATGGGTTCACCGCTTTAATTGAATTTTTTTAAGAATTTCTAATGTTTTCTCTAATTTATTAGAGTGCTATGTGACGGCGTAGGAACGTTTGTAGGAGTATCATGTGACGGTGACTATAATCTAATAATCTAAAAAATGGGTCCATCATTTTAAATGAAAATTGCCAGCTTTTTTTTGTTATTTTTTCAAGTGAACAGTTTCTTTTTTCTGTTTTATAGTTTTTATCGGACGTAAAGTATATATATGTCGTTTTTTTAAGTAACGTACCTTTAGTTTTTTCCGAATACGTACCGATGGGAATTTTTTTTCCCGTATAAACGGCATCTATGCTTATATAAGCAAATATATCTAATCTAATAGTTTAAAATAATGGGTCACCAATTTAAATGAAAATCGACGATGAGATTATAAAATGCCACGTGGTGATTTAGGAGCGTTTGTAGAAGCGTTTTTTTCCCGGTTAAATGAAAATTGCCAGCCCTTTTTTGTTATTTTTTCAAGTGAACAGTTTCTTTTTCCTGATTTATAGTTTTTATCGTATGTAAAGTACGTCGTTTTTTTAAGTGAACAGTACCTAAACGTACCTTTAGTTTTTTCCAAACACATACCGATGGGAATTTTTTTTCCCTATAAACGGCATCTGCTTTTGCTTTTGTAGGAGCGCCATATGATAAGTTTAGGAGCGTTTATAGGAAGATTAATCGACTTTTAGTATATAATAGATTAGATATAAAAATTATCATTAACACTAACTAGCAACATTAACACTACCATTAGCGCTAAGCAGGAGATGGCCGGGCGCGCAAGGCTGCAGGGTCCTTCTATTTCGTCCTTTTTCTCTTCTCCCTTCTCTCGTAGTAAAACAAATATAGTATTGAATGTGACATATTATAATACGATAAATCTGTTCAGATGTATATCTATATTTATAATATTAAGATGTGTCATATTTAATACTAGATTGGTTTTTTATGTTACATAGGGAATAATTTCCTGCTCATTTAAGCGCTGCAGGGTGTTTTGTGTGTTGATTTGCACGCGTCGCCGGCCCAGGAGCCCCCACCCACGTGCCAAGCAGAAAAACTGCAGCATTGGCGTCGACCAGATCAACCACCCTCCCGCGCACGCCACCGCCCGCATACCACCCGCGTCGACGCTGCATCCATATCCATCCACCCCCCGCGCGCGCCCCACTCCCCACGGCACGCTCGCATCGCATGGCATCCAATCTCTAAAACCGATTGCAGGGTGTAGGATCTGGCTTCCCATTAAGCCACGTGGCAACCTATAAATTTAGTTGGACCCCTCTAAAAATCTGCCATGTTGCCATGTGTCCCTCCAAATTTAGGGTAT